GTAAAATTGTTAGTCTTTCTGCTTTTAGTATCTTACTGTTGCGCCATAGATACATAGATAGATTGCGTCATAGATACATAAATAGATAGCGTCATATTATGGGTTTGGATTGTTTTCCTCAAGAGTTAAAGCGCATGGCCATTCAAAAAGCCCCACTCCGTCTTTTACATCAATTTTTGTTCAACCAGTCCTGATATTTTTCTCCCAAATTGACTTGAGAAGACCGCGCCAAAAAAAATTCCAAATTCCCAAAATATATTTTTGTAACATTTTTATTAAAAACTTATTAAAGAGCGGTGAGCAAAACAATGGCCAAGAGGGGATCTTTTAATGTTCTGGAAAATCAATATATTTATATTATATATATACATATATATTTATACATATATATATATATATATATAAATATATATATATATATATATATATATATATATATATATATATATACTCGGCCTGAATAATAAAATAAAAATTTAACAAGATTCACCTGTGTTTTTTGCAAACCGCTCCCGTCATGCCAAGTCTATTGGCAAGCCAGAAGACCCATGACCCCCACTTTTCTGAAGAGGGAGAGGAGGGGGAGGATGAAGAACGAGCTAACATTTCATGGTCACTGGGGCTGAATAAACACTGGCAGAGTAGGGGTACTGAAACAAAGAAAGCTCTACAGATTTTTCTACTTTTCGAGAAACTGTTTTTTTTCAATTCAATTATCTGACAAACCAAACGTTTAAACATGAGAAATATGCACGTGGCTATTGGAGTCTATCCAATTCTGTTGAAATTAATCTGAAATTTCATAAATATACATTGAACAATTTTTCGAAGTTTAATTTTAAAAAAGAACGTTTTTCCTAAACAAACGCATTTCATTTTTTAAAATAATCTGTCAAAAAATAAAATAATGTAAACCCAGAAAGTTTCCTTCAAATTAACAACCGCACGCATGTAATCTAAGCCTTGATGGAAATTCCTAACGTGCAAGTGCTGAACCAATAACCGAACAACCGCGTGACGTGCATCAAGTATAATCGGATGCTTGCTATCGAAATTGGAATTAACCAAGCGGCTGATGCGCCCAGTCGAGCGAAGGATGCCAGCTGGTCCAATGAACGGCAAATACTTGGCGATCCGACTATTCCTCGTGATAACTTTACCGGCTCTTAGTAGTTTTAGCTCACTAGGGAATGTCTCACCCTGGGACAGGTAAATGAGCTTCTGTTCAGCAATATCCATTTCAGACGGGTCTGTAATTTCTAATATACTTGACCGGAAATGTTTATGGGATGGCAGCCATCTTAACAAAAATGCTACTGTGCGTTTGTATTTTACAATTGAATTGAATCTCTCCCATTTTCCGTAGGGAAGATTTTTTTCTGTCAAAACATCGACGATGAAATTTGACGAATTTTCCAGACAAATGTCGATATCACATGATGGTCCTTTGAGTCCTATTTTATCAATAACCCTTGTATCGGGCTTGAACGTCCAATCACTTGTTCTCAGTATACTATGGCCATTAACCCAGCTGCTTTCCTTGAGGGCTTCCGAAGAAATCCCTCGTGTACCGGTATCAGCTGGGTTATCACCGCTAAGTATGTGATGCCACTGATCAGGTGTGGTAGACTCCAGAATCTCACCAGTGCGATTACCAACAAAAACGGGTAGTTTACTACAAGAGTGAAGCCACTGAAGAACAGTGGTACTATCTGTCCACATGAGAATATCCGTAACTTTGAAAGTAAGACCTTTCAAAATTTCTTCTTTTAAGCGGGTTGCAAGACGAGCCGCTTGAAGCTCTAACTTTGGAATAGAAATCGCTTTTATAGGCGCGACGCGGGCTTTGCAAAACACAAAAGCTAATTCGGTCTGATGAGAGCTAGCAAGTCGCGCACGAAGGAAAGCGACGGCACAGAAAAAACCCTGCGAACTATCACCGAACATGTGACGTTCTATTCGGTCGAAAGGATCAGTGAAATAGTTGCGAGGTATTGTCAGAGAATCTAACAAATGAAGACCTGAGTGCCGCTCAAGGAATTGCTTTTTGATTTCCTTTGGCAGATCATCGTCCCATTTTTGACCACTGATTCGCCAGATATCGTTTAATAGAAGGCGAGCCTTCACGGTATACGGAGCCACTAACCCAATTGGACCAAAAACAGAGGAAACAAAACTCAACATGGTACGCTGAGTGATTGCTTTGTCTACTGGACGATCAACCCCTCTACTAACGACTAAGGTATCTTTTACGTGATCCCACTTAAGACCGAGAACATGCGACGGCTGGTCTGGACTCGCACAAATATCTTTAACAGAGGAATTGGACTCACGGTTGTCCGGATTAAGAGCAGTTGTTACATCGGGCATGTTACTGACAAATTTTGTCAGACGAAACCCACCTAGTTTAAGCAACGAGATTAAATCTCTACCTAATTTCAAGGCGTCATCCTTGTTTTGAAAAGAATCCAAATAATCATCCATATAAAATTTCTGGACAACAGCCGAAGCAGCTTCGGGGTACTCAGCTTGATTATCCGATGCAGTCTTCTGCAAAGCAAAACTCGCACAAGTCGGCGAGTCACGAGCACCAAAAATGTGACGCGTATATTGGCGAATTACCACACTTGATGTGGGGTCCTCCCGCCACAAAAAAAACGAAGAGAAGGTTGATCTTCTTCACGGACTCCAACCTGTAAAATCATCCCTTCAATGTCAGCTGAAATGGCTTATTTATGCTGACGGAATCTTAAAAGTACAAAAATGAGATTTTGAAGGAGATCCAGGCCAACCAACAGAGATTTGTTCAAGGAAGCGCCATGACACTTCGATGCCCCATTGAGGACTCGGCGCACCTTACGGGGTTTATTCGGGTTCAACACCGGGTGATGCGGGAGATACCACTCAGGATCGGCTCGTGATTTGGAATTGTGTGCCTTAACGGTTATGACATATCCTTTTTGTATATCTTCTCTAATTGTTTCGGCGTATTTTTCACGGAGCGACGGATCCTTATCTAGCCTCTTTTCCAAAGACTTTAATTTAGCTAAGGAGGAAAAATAGTTATGTGGTAAAGTATTTTCCTTATCGTTCCAAAGCATTGGTACAATGTACCTCTCACCATCGTGAAACGTGTCATTTTTCAAAACGGACAAAGCGCGTTTGTCGGCGGCGGAACGGGCATCTACTTGCTTGAAGGCTCCATGTGACTCCAACTCATACCAAGTTTTAATTTGGTCTGCAAGAGACATGTCTTCGACAACACACTTAAAATAAGACGAGTTCGACTTAAGGGACGGCGGTAACGGACCACTTAAAACCCAAACTATCGGAAGGCGTACGGCGCACGGTGAAATAGAGTCCTTCCCCAGAAGGTACTCAACGGGTCTTATGGCATAGTAGAAATCCTGTCCAATAATTATTTCGACTTCCTCATACTTATAATGTATAGGTTTTATCGGAGCCAACTGCGGGTATTTTTCTTGTAATTCAGGAATACTTGTGCTATCCGATCCAATGCGAATATGATCCTTAACATAAGCTCGAAAAGAAAACGAAAAATCACTATTATTCGTTTCGGCGGAAACTTGAAAGTTTACTTGATGAGTTTTCATCACGCTTGTGGAATTGAGTCCATTTATGGTGAGGTTAACGGGAGTTCCAACCAAATGGAGCCGTTTTACGAGATCGGCGGATACCCATGAGTGCGTCGAAGCACTATCGCAAAGAGCTAGGTCATTAGTAATGGCCGCATCCGAAGAGACGGCGAGTGATGCAACTGGCAGGAGGCCTTTAGTTGACTCCTGGCTATGAATATCGCCGACGGCAGCGTTAGTCGATACATGTTTAGTGTTTGCGTTACCTGACGCCGGGGAACTTTTAGTATCCTTAGGAGGAAAAATTTTCTCAGCTCCATGTAAGAGCACGTTGTGCGTGCTTTCACAATCTGGCTTGGGGCGTTTTCTGGCCTTGCTACAATTACGAAAACTGTGATTGCTCTGTAAACACGCAAAGCAAAGTTTTTGTTCGGCTACATGTTTCGCTCGCTGCGTTAATTAATGTTGTTAATTAAATTTAAAACTAATTTTGATTAAGTTTTATTGAAGTTATAGTTTTTTTGTCTGCTCTTACGCAGCATGTTAATTTTAAACAAGAGAGTAATCGCAGTTTCCGTAAAGGTTGCCAAACAGAAATCGTAAAATTTATTGTACTAATTTTGCGCATTCAACTAAAAAAAAACTATGTGATTTAGTTCATAATTAAGGTTCATTTTTTAGAGAGTATGCTGATATCTTTTTACTTATGAATGAAATATTTTTATATTGCAACTACAAGGATTGATCTACAACACTTTTTGAACGGATGTGTAAAACAAAAGGTAGTGCACAGAAAATACATACCAGTGCCAATAGGCAAGAAAACCACGAGGATAATCTTCATTATTTGAAAACTTTACAAGTTTTTATAAATGAAAATCTGAACAGTTTCATGTTTTCAAGATTCTCGTTTCCAAGTGGTCGTTTTGTCAACAAAACCGGGCAAAGTAAATTGCAGCGTATAATTTCTGATGTGTTTATACATTCAGTGTCAACTGCGAAAACAAATATATCCAAACATGACAATAAGTTGCCAAGAGCATGAAAGGTACCTTGAAAAGCTCTACTTCTAGCTTTACTTTCATCAAAGCGAGAAAACTTAGTCGTGCTTTGCGACGTAAGAATATTTTTCAAATAAAATTGACAGCCCTAATCGATCATGGACATTTATCCTGCAAGCGACGGTTATCTTGCTAAATTTTGTAACATGGAGGTTATCTTCTAAGAACATTGAAAAAAAGAGGTAATCTTGTAGGCAGTGGCGTGCGCAGAAGTTTTTTAAGGGGGGGGGGCGGTTTTTCGAAAAATTTTGAACGTTTTGCGGACCTTTTTTTTAGGTCGATCGATTTTATTTTCGGAGCTCTCCGAAAATACTCTTAAGGACCCTATTTTGTCAACAATTTTCTGTGTCGCGGGCAAAATTAAAAAAAAGGCCAAAAAACGGCGTTTTTGGGTACTTTTTGGAAAATTTTGACAAAAAATGCGTTTTTCGGCGCGCGCTTTTCCCTCATATTTAGATAGGTTGGCCAGCCATAAATGGATATCGTAAAGTTAAACCAAAGGGGGACCCTTTGGAAAACTTGGCAACCAGTCCTCTCCCCCCTCGGCACGCTACTGCTTGTACGATAATCATCCAAAAAATTCCACCAAAAAGTTAACAACGTATCAGAATTTTTATATTTGATTAATACATAATAATTCTAAGAGATTGAAATTTTTGTTGGCTAACCTCGCTATAACCCGGTTAGAGCGTGAAGTTGAAGTATCGGAGTGTACCATTTGTTGCTGTTTTTATATATTCACATAAGCTCACCAATATGACAAAGTGTTCTTGACATTAGTTCTCAAAGAATTTACCAATTAAATGTCAGAGCGAGTTAGTGAAACTTATGGGAGCACGCTTGGGAAAGCATGGTGAAAACATTACATGACAATCAACATATGTCAATATTATGCAAATTTATTTTAACCGGCAAAGAAATGTTGTTTTTGATGCTAGAATTTGCCTTGAAGTCCGAATCTCTCAAATTTGTTTGACTTATATCTCGGAAATAATTCAACGTTTTTGCTGCAATCGTCAAAACGTTTTTCGGGCTTAAATTTGGTAAAAACTGTTCTTTAAATCAGCTGGGCTGCTGCAAAATTTTTTTTTTGAAAACGGTGACTTTTTTTAATTGCGGTTTGTTGTACTTATTGACTCCTACTTCTAATATCGCTGAATCAGTTCAAAATATTTCAGATGCAGTCAGCAGAACAACAAGAAACAAGGCCAATGCGCAGTTCGGATTTGAAATACTTTTACTAATTCTGTGTGGTTGCTAATAACACAACTTTTAGATTAATCAGTAGTTTTGGACATTTTAAGTTGTCCTTTCCTGCCCTTTCCTTAAATCCGCCCCTGTGCACAGTAGACTTTTTTTCTATTCCAGCGGAATACAAATGCTAGTTAATAAATACAAACTTTGAATTTATTTTCTTTTATCAAAAAAAAAGTTTTTCATGATGAAAAACAAAAAAAAATCAGTGAAATTTATAAAACAAAGATGTTCGAAATTGTAGTTTTCGATTATATATTTTTTTAAGTTTAGCAGCTTTTTTGTTATCTGTCTGATGGCTATGTTTTTTTGCATCAGAAACAAACCCACACTCTTTTTCTTCTGTTATGCAACTTGTTTGATTGCTCCGTTTAGTTTCCAGAGACAAAAATGACGAATTATTTGGACTCGAGGTAGTTTTTTTCCCCGATTTTGGCTTTTTAACTAGCAATTTTTGACAAAACTTTTAAAATTCATTCGAAAAGAATTGTTGTCCTGAGCTGAAATTTACATAGATATTTTATCTGTGATCGATTTTTGTAAAGTTGTGAGGTTTAAATATTGCCATTTTGGGACAATTAACGCGCAATTTATTCGCGCTTTTAATGCGTATGAGGAGATTTAATCCGTCTTAGAAACCGTACCAAAATAAATTGAGGCATGCTCTTTGGTCTGCTTCATATTTTATATATGCGAAATTTATCACTTTGTTCGTTACGAAGCATGCGCGTATATCATTTCCAAAAGTTTACATAGAAAAACTGCACTTCTTTCTATCCCATAGAAATTAAAGTGCAGTTGGAACACTGAGGGTTCCACCCTGATACGAGCAGTCTTGTTTACATAACCATTGCAAATTGTGAGCAGTTGATTCTGTTTTGTATGTAACACTGATGATTGTTCAAAACGCACACTTACAACTCAAACATGTTCAATTTTTGAGATCAATGGTTATCACTTGATGATTAACAGTATTTTTTTTGGTTGAAAAGATTTTTCAATGAATTTGAAAAAAAACCGCAAGTTTACCTAATATTTTTTCTGTAGTGCTGTCGTCAACAGTTTACAACACCAGATCATCAATTTCACGGTTTAAGGGTTGCTCTATTCCGGGTGTTCGTTTTTTTCTTGACTACTGTCCAAGATGATTGAACAGAAACATGCAAAAAGTCCAGTAGTGATTGACGAAAAAAAAAAGGTCTACAGAAAAAATTGAAATAGTCTTCAGAAAAAAAATGAGTAAAGAAAAGCAATACTCTATGTATCCAGTGCTTGTTGCTTGAATAATATTATTTTTCCGACTTTCGATACGAAAGTAACGGAATATTTGTGCTCGGGGTGGGTTTTTTTTTTCTTCAGACAAATTTCGACTTTTTAACTAGCCATTTTTGACGGAAATTTTTTAATATCATTCGAAAGCTATTGTTGTCCTAAGCTTAAATTTGAAAAGATATTTCACCTGTGATCATTTTTCGTAAAATTATGAGGGTTTAAAGATTGCCATTTTGGCCATTTTGACCAATTTGGGACAATTAACGCGCGATATAATTCGCGCTATTAACGCGTAAGCGGAGATTTAATCCGTCTTAGAAATCGTTCCAAATTGGTTGGAAGAAGCTTATTCGCCATAATTGATTTGTTACAAGGAGCCAAATCTATTGTTTTGTACTTTATACGGCGTGTGGGGGGATGATTTTCTCAGAAAAATTTTCAATTTTTAGAAAAAATAGTTTTTCATTTTATTTTATTTCATTTAATTTTTTTATGTTGTTTATGTTATTACTGCTACATAAGCGTTAAAAGGCAGTCGGAATTTTCAGGGCTGCGCCCTGTTACGAGAAGTTTTGTTTATTTTTAGGTCTTTATTTGTTTCTCAATCATTTTGAACTGTGTTGATTTTTATGGTATGGAGATATTTCAGTTGTCAATCAAAATTGAAAGATTGTCGCCTAACATGAAAATTGTTTTAAAAAATATTGCTACGGGTTTATAGCAGGCTGTGTGTAAAAAAAATCCTTTTATCGACGAATGCTGAACAGGTGCTTACGCATAAAGCTGTTTCCTTTCCACGAATGAAAATTTCGTAAAAGCTATCTTGAAAGAGGCTATCTTGCAAAATCTTACAAAACAACCATCCTTGATCGGCCAGAGACAGAATTCAAATGCACCCAGGGCTAAGTGCGAATTGAAAAAGTGCTACCAAAAACTTATTGTGCAAAAAATCACCACCCGACCGCAATGACTCGCTTGTTACTTTTATTTGAGCTCAGCTACTTTGCGAGAAAAAACAGGACGGACGGCTTAAATTTATTTAAAAGAAAATGGTGCAAAAAGTTTACAGTTTTTGGGCTACCTGATGGGTCATATTTCCACACTACTAATTGAGCGATTATAAATCCGGTTAAGTTTTTAGCAGTTTTTAAGGTGATCTCTTTGGAAGCAAAATCAAGTAATTTTGAGAAAATTTCATTCAAACTTACAGCTTATTTTGTTTGATCGGATTTTCAAAAAAAAATGGAATTACATAAACTATAAAAACACTCAAAGCTTTTACCAAAAATCAGCTAAAAAAGTCGCTCAATTTTTCAATTTGATGGTCGAGCTGAGCAATTTTGTTACCGTTTTACGCAAATTTTATTCGACTACATTGAAACGAAATAAATCAGAACATCACTTGCCAAAAATTGTATCCAATTAATTTAAAAGGCTCTTTGATGTTTTCTATCGAAACATTCAAAGTTTGTTGCTTCGACCATTGAAAATGGCCTTCATGTGATCAGCTAAATTCTGAACAGCTGAATGGCAAGGTTTTGAACATTGTCATTGGTTTATGAAACTTTTCGCGAAACTATGCAAGTTTTTCTAAAAACCCCACAGTATTAATAAAAATAACAAATTATTTTCAAACCAAATATATGAACAAAAATATATGCGCATAATTAGGGCGATAAAAGGACTGCCAATTTGAGTGACAAGAGTTGTAACGATCTCGGTTGAATAAGCACAAAGTGCCAAACTTTGCTGGGTGGAATGGGACGATCGAGAAAAAACCAGTAATTCAAAAAATGCAATATACATATACAACTGCCTCCCTTTCAAATTTTTTTACAAAATGTCTCTTACTTAGTCTTTTGATTATATATTTTTACATACATAAAACAATAAAATTGAGGGAATGCACGCGGAGAAAAAACGCAATTTTTGTTCAATATCATCCAATCACATCCAATAACGTCACTTTTTGGCTATTTTTCTAATTCATCTGCGGCGTAAGCCAAACCAATGCAGGGTCTTTTCTAGAGCATTACAATACCAAATTGTGCTGTGCAATGGATAGGTGTGTTTTGTATCTGGAATCTAGAAACAAAACTTTAAACTTGTTAAAAAATCATCGGAACGATGAAAGAAAACAAAAGCATGAAAGAAGATCAAAGAGAGCGTCCTTGTCCGCCGACAATTTACGCAATACTTAGTTTGGCCTTGTAATGATTTTTTTTGACCAAAAAAAAAGAATTCACTTTTTTTCGAAAAGCAGCTCGCTTCATGAAATGATTGAGCGCTCGCCGATGGAGGGAGCGTTTGGTTTTTGTACAATAAATCATCTATGAATCATATAGTTAAAAAACGTCCAGCGAGGGCTAATATGATTTTTCTCAGGCTGCTAAAACTTTTTACAAGCTAATTTGCTCAACTAGCGCAAATTAACGTTACTCAAGTAAGAAGTAAAGTCTAAAAAACCCCACTTACTAATAATAAAAATAACAAATTGTTTTCAAACCAAATATATGCAAAAAAATGTTCTGTAATTTATGATTATTATAGGTTTGAGAAGGCATTCTAAATATTTCAAACGAAAACTGCCGAAGGATGCCTAAGAAAACAGAACAGTTTTGAATTATATCTCACCCTTAGATTTAAAAACATTAGTTTCTTTGGCAATGTTTGAAGTTTTTCATTTCCCAAAAAAAGAATGGTCCAATACCTCGGGAAAACAACACTACAATTAGCCAAAAATTCAATTTGAATTCCTTAAGTTCCATCAAAAAACAAATCAGCACAACCCAGAATATAATTGTCCAGAAAATTACGATGAATACTGTCCAGACTGCCCTTGGAAAAATTATAGATGAAATCTGGATAGTTTTCGAAATGCATATCTAATCGTTTATTGATAGTATTGATTCGCAAATTTATTTGAAGATTGATCATTTGTCAATGCGTTTTCCCTCATGCTTAACTTTCAAAACAACCAATTAAAAGTTTTTTTTAAATAAACAATTAAGTAGATTGATTGTCTTTGTCAATTTTTTACTAGCTCCTTTGAGCTCTACCTTTCACAACAAGAGTGGTTTCAAAAGCTGAAAAGTAGAGTCACAGAAAAAATTACAGGTTTGAACGATGAAATTAGCAAACGAGTTGTAAGAATCAGGAGAAATTTGATAGAATATAAATGTCTGATCTTATAATCTAACTCATCAAATTTTTTCAAAATACTTTAGAGAGGTGTCGCATTTTTCCTGAAATTCGATTATAAAAACAACTGTGCATTAACTTTGCTTCTTAGAGTTTCCACCGAACCTTTGCTACACAAATGATTTAGAATCATTTCCTGTAGAATGCCAAGTGTTCATTGATTTAATTTCAGAGACACTCAACCCGTTGACAACATCGTAGTGTCTGTTATCTAGATAGACATTACAGTATTCACAAATTTTTCTTCGAAAGGCTGAGCAATAGAAATTTTGCGGAAGAAAAATACATTGGTGACTGGCATTCAGAGCATTTTAAAATCTTCAAAAGGCACAGTCGTTAGTTTTTTTTTCAATTGCAAAACAAATTACTACGGTTATACCAGAAGTTACAATGTACTTGAGCTTTTAGCGCCTAGATCTTAACCCAGAATGATATGGCAAAAACAGTCTGAAGTTAATGAATAATTTAAGCATTGCTAATCATATTTTTTTCCCGAAACTCTAACTCGGAAGGAGAAAAACGGTTGATAAATTTAGCTTAAGTTTTTATTATAAGTAAAAATTTTGAAGCTAATTAACACATTACGTTACCACTGTCAGCACAACTACTTTAAAAATTAAACGGGAAACCCAGTGGACAAAACTTAAAGCAGACTCATGTTAACTAACGTTAAATTACGTGTAGTGACTGATTTAACGTTATTTAACTTGAGATCGAACGTTAAAAAAACGTTAAATTACGTGTTATTGAATTTTCGCCTAATCGATTAAAAGCCAAACTTTGGAATTAAAATGCTTAACTTTGTTTAACATAATTTAACGTTGAACAAGGGTAAGATCAAAATATTGACTACACGTAATTTAACGTTAAGGAAGGCTAAATAAAATAGTTTGGCTACATCTAATTTAACGTTATTTTAACGTTGCCCACTGCGAACCTACTTTTACCGGTATTGAATGTTTTTGAACATCAATAGTTAAGCCATCAGGATGAGTAGACTTTTTTGTATTCAGATTAGGTAAAACATGTTTTTAATTTTTTGGTGTATTGGTAAGAAAAAATCATGACTTTTCAAGTGATGCAAATTGTGCTCGTTTTTTAAAAGATGTTCAAGATTTTTAAAAAAATTACAACCAACATTAGCGGAGTCGTAAAATTGCAACTACTTTTCAGTGAATAAAATTGTTGTTTTGTTGATGGGGCAGAACTATTGTTCATAAAATTGGGCGGAACCTCTAATCAAACCGGTGGCCTGAATGACTCCACTGAAACGTTCACATAAAAATTTTTACGTCAGGTTACGATGTAGTAACGTCTTCTTCATCTTCAATTTTTCGATAACGTCTTCTTCATCTTCGATAGGAGATCTTCATCTCCTATCGTTCCTTTTTGTGTTGGATTCGGTTGTGGCTCACTTTATGCGTGTTTTTTGGGCCTTTGCACGACAAAACAAAAAAACCTGAATTCCAAAAGGACGCTTCCCCCTGCCCTCAGGGATTCGACCCCTGCCGAAGGGTCCCCCCTTTGTACTATTTTGAGATATCCATTTCTGGTTACGGACCCTACAGTTTTTCTAAAGGCGCCTTTGGCGCTAATATATACTAATTTTGAGGGGGGAGCGCGCACCGAAAAAGCGCATTTTTTCGATCAAAATTTTCCAAAAAATACCTAAAAGCGCCTTTTGGTATCGCTCTTGGTAATTTCAGCTCTGACGTCCCCTACTTAAAAAATGGCGCAAAGTCGTGTACTATGAAACAGCGTGAGAACCGGATACATCTGGCGATAAAACGACGGTTTCCAGTCTTGTTGTCAAAACTCTTGGCATTTAAAACGGTGATTGTGAACTTGGGTGTCTTTTTCTCACATGACTGGATGTTGATTGATACCGGAAGTAGAAATCAATCGATAGTTCGAAAAACCTTTTGATGATGTCCCAAATCGCCCAAATCAATACTTCTTTCTCGTCATCACCTTTTGCTAGATGTTGTTTGCATATAAAAATGATAATATATTTATAGCTTCATAATTATTTCAAGCTAAATAACAGTTTCACAAAAACTTCTAACTAACAACCTCAACACCACTAGCCCCGACTGAATTAATCTGCAGTTGTTTGTTTCTCTCTCCCCTTCTGTGGCTGCTCTCCACCCCTAAGTAGACAGCTGCACTCTGAAGAGTGAAGAAGACTAGGATGAGCAGCTGGAGGGGAAGTGTGATCTGATCTGACACGAAGAAGAAGAGGGCGGAGCCGAGTCCGATCGAGATGCTGGTAACAGAAAAGAAGGTAATTTTCAACACAGAGAGCCCACATTGTCAATTGCAAGTTGACTTGGTTTTTTACTGGATTCCAAAATATTAAATTTTAATGTTCTTCCGACTATATTCGAAGAAAATGACGGAATAATTGTGCTCGGGTGGTTTTTGATCCGAATTTCGAAGAAAACAGATATTTATGACTGGTGTGGTTTTTCTATTCAGTCAATTTTTGGCGATCGAAATGATAGTTTGTAACACAAATATTTATAGCCCCATTCATGGTATCGACTCCCTGAAATCAAATTAAAAAAAATATTTTTAAGTGACCATTTTTTGGACTAAATTATGCGCAATTCGAAAATTTTAGCCATAACCCTGAAAGCGTAACGCAAACTATATATGCGTGGTGATCTATCTTTCTCAAAAAACTGTTCCGAATTGCATTGAGGCTAGCTTATCGGTCGTATTAATTTCGTACGACTCAAATTTTCAAAATCGGAGATCTTTGATATTATCCAGAACTTACAATTTTTTTTAAAATTTCTTTTCCCAAAAAGCTTTTCGCTATGAATTAAGGGGAGATCGGAACATTAGGGTTTTTGCTCTGATATACGAGCTTCGACTTTTTAACTAGTAATTTTTGACATATATTTTTTTATATCACACGAAAAGTATTGTTCTGTTGAGCTCAAATGTAATTAGGTATTTGACCTGTGATCATTTTCGTAAATTATGAGTCTTAAATTTTGCCGATTGGGACAACTAACGCGCAATATATTAATGCGTAAGAAGAAATTTAATCGATTTCTTTATTATTATGAGCGAAATCTGTCACTTCGTACTTAATATGGCGCGTGGGGGATGATTTTTTTCCTAAAGAAAATTAACTGCTCCATAGACCATAAAAGGCAATCCGAACATTCAAGACTTCACCCCTATACAAGCAGTCCTGTTGTTCCGACTTTCGTAACGAAAGCAACGGAATATTTGTGCTCGGGGCGGGTTTTTTTTTCTTCAGACAAATTTCGATTTTTAATTAGCCATTTTTGACGGATTTCTTATATCATTCAAAAATTATTGTTGTTTTGAGCTTAAATTTGAAAAAACAATTCACCAGTGATTAATTTTTGTAAAGTTATGGGGTTGAAAATTGCAATTTTTAGAAATTTAGGACAATTAACGCGCGGTACATTTCAGGCTATTAACACGGGAGCGGAGATTTAATCGGCCTTAGAAATTGTTCCAAATTGGTTGAAGTAAGCTTATTTACTATAATTGAAATTTTACTTGGAGCGAAATCTATCACTGTGTACTTTAGTGGCATGTGGAGGGAAGATTTTCACAAAAAAACATCAAATTTTTAATTTTGTTCGTTTTATTTTATTACGTTTTTTTTAAAGTTATTTTTGCTCCACAGACCCTAAAAGGCATTCAAAACAATCAAGGCTTCGCCCTAATACAAGCTGTCTGGTTTTGTTTAGAAATGGAGTCATTACCAAGTTTTAGGTAAGCTTATACAGTGCTGATTGAAATTACCTGGCCAAAATGAATGAAACTTGCAATTTAAAACGTTTTTTTTTTCAACTTAGGTTATTTTTAGACAAAAATTATGAAAAATAATCCTGTTTAAAATTTCAAGAGCAATAATATGGTGTAAGTGAAATTGTTTTGCAAAATTTGGGCCCAAAAGTTTACCCAAAACTATCATTTTTGGCTCTGTTTAATCTATCAAAAAATACTCCAAGTCTATTTGATCATTTACTGACAAAACTGTATCACTGCAAGCCTCTCACGTAGCTCAGCAAAATTTAAGAAGGGTTTGATTATCTCAGCTTTGTAAAAACATATTTATTTTCGGTTGATAGCCAAAAAATGTCATTTTTACAATACAAAACACCAATTTTTTCAAATAAAAACTTTTTTGAACTTTTTCCGCCTGCTTCAAGAGGTTATACCCTTCTAATGTTTTCATAATAAACTGAGAAAGATATTTCCAGCCATCGTTCACTTACTACATTCCAGAGAAATAGATGGAGTCATCTGGAGTGTGCTGGAACACAATGCAGAAGATGTATGTGAACTGACAGTAGGTCACACTGTTGCCCATGCCCTGCAGAACCCTATAATGCAAACAAAATTATACTGAAACATTTAATCAAGAAACCAAATCAACTTAATCTTGATTTTTTTTTCAACTTTTTCAACTGTAACAGACGACACTAACAAAAAAAAAATTGTTAGTGTCGTCTGTTACAAGAGGAGAATATTATCGCAAATTTTATCATAAAACTGGCATGTTAATGGCAGCGTTTTTGATACTCTTTTTTTAAATTTCAACCCATTCGACTTCATTCTTTCCCTATTTCTTCTATCTCCAATTACGCTAAGAAAAAAACCAACCCGGATAAGACAGCCAAGTAGCTGCTATAGTGTGTGAAGTATCCCTTTTCTGTAGTTTCTGCACTAATTGAGTCAGGAGGCAAGATGGCAAAGATGATGTAGAAGCCGAGTAGATATGTGAACACGTAGAGAAAGGAAAACTGGCCATTGAAATTCGATTTAGCTAGAAAAAAATAAATGTTTTTTTTTCAGAAATTCCACAGGTCATGTAAAAATCAACAGGTCAAGTTGAAAAAAAAATTGAGAAAAAGAAAAGATTTTTGCTATCATCTCTCACGCAATGTCAAGTTTCAAAAGTTACAAAACTTCTTGTCTGAGGTAGTTTGTGGAAAAAATTATAAACTTAGAAAAGTCTTCTTTTTACTTCAAAACTTAACTATAACGCAATTAGATCAATTATTTTGCCATAATTCTAATTGGAATAGTTTCTGTTTCGCAGCTATTCTGTTTCTGTAACAATTCCAAATTGACACTTTTCGAACACAATCAGTTAACCAAAAAAAGTAGCAGAGCAAAAAATTCAAGTAAGAATACGCCTAAAGTGTTGCTTAGCATGTCTGTTAGTGAATCTGCGTCAGAAATTCGGTTAACCTATTTTTTTGAGCATCTGGGAGTTCTAAAAAATCTAAAGGGCCACAACATGTTTGAGGGATCGAACAATTAAATGTTCGTAAGTCTCGGTAAAAAATAACTAGGGGCACAGCTAAAGCTAGATGTTTGATATTTTTTGAATTTGTTGTATTGATGAAGGAGGAAACGGTTATTTCAAACATTGGTTTTTCTCTAGTAAAATAAGTGAGAAGAATGAAAATATTGAGAAACTGCAATCTTCCATAAGACATGTGCTTACAAAAAAGGAAGTCGCTACTTCTGAAGGGAAAATTCTTGCAACCGGTTATTTTGATTGAACACTTCATCTCAGTTTTTATTCGGTAGTTTCTAAGAGAATCAAAAGAATTCTAAAAAACGCCAAAAGTTCAAAATCTTGAATTTTAGAAATCCAAAACTTATTTGCAATAAGAAAGTCGGGGCCACTTAAGCAGAGAGGATTCCCAAAAATTTCTTTCTTGGTTGAGCCCGAAGAATTAACCTAACAATTGCAGGGTAGTTTTCGAGAAAAGCCCCTGAGCTCATTGTTACGATTGAACGCAAAATCTGAGATTTCGGAGGATAGTTTTCGAGAAAACCAAAAAATTTCAAAACTAGGTAAAAAAGGAAAAACCTAACGAGGTTAGGTTTTTCCGAGGGCCATAGTTTTTTGTATAAACGAATTCGGCGTAATCACATAAGCAGCTTCCCGCAAAGCGTTCTATGGATTGAACCTAACCCTAAAATCTCAGATATGGGCCGGTAGATTTTGAGAAAAGTCACATTTAAAATAGGAAAATGAACCGACGAAAACTGAGCTAAAAACCAACATTCTCAGAAATTCAATATCCCCAAAACTCAGAAACAAATGTTGAATTTCTGAGTTTCTGGGATGTTGAATTTCTGAGAATTCAAATATAGCTACCCCATCTAGGAATTATAAAGGCTTACTAGGTGGAGTACGTTTAGGGCAAAAATTATTTTTCAAATGAATTTCTGAAACAAATGTTGAATTTCTGAAATTTATTTGAAAAAAAAATTTTTGCCCTAAACGTACTTCACCTAGTAAGCCTTTATAAGTCCTAGATGGGGTAGTTATATTTGCATTCTCATGAAATTGAGCATGTGTTTAAGCTAGACATTTCTGTGAACAAAATTATATTTACGGGGAAAAGTCTAGTATCCGATTGCAATACCCTTGCTTATCGCAAGGGTAAAAAAGACATTTTGAATCCAAACGTGAGACTTGAAGAACAACGCTTGAAAGATATTGGACTCTTGAGACAGCAAGGTTTTAACTGAAAATCTGCTGTTTACAAGTATCTTGCTTCAAGAACTACCCGATGCCATTGTCTGGTACCACAAAAACAAGCAAGAAATCGCTTGAACGAAGCGGATGAAGGCTGCTCATAAACAACTCGATGAAAAATCAACCTGAACGCACAAACTGCTCGAAAACTCAAATGTTTTTAAGCGATAAAAAACATTTAGTAAGATTTTTTCTGCTAGGTTTTGTTGCATCGCCTAAATACAATGCGATGGGACATACATTTTGTGTTTACTGCTTAGTAACCAGTTGATCTTGATTCTGGTATATGTTTTGTTTTCATTTGAAGCGCATCTGACTCACATGAAAAGATGGCGTACAGTATGCAACCGAATATCTGCCCAAATCCTATGCCGATTCCCATCAATCCCATCACCTCTTTGCTGAAACAAACTTAAGCATAGTTTCATATTCGAAGAAAAAAAATTGAGCATCTCAATATTTTCAATCTAAATGAAAACATAATCTTTTAAGTTCACGAAACGCTAAAAGTTAGAACCCAATAGTTGAAACTAAAATTGTTTTCAGCGTCAGTACCTTTTTCGGTTTTGAAGAGTTAATTTTCGACTTTAAAGCAGTCTTGAATATAATTTTATTTAAAAATCTTGAAGAAAGCAGAAAGAATTCAGTGAAATGAGTTACTTAAATTAGGGAAAATTCTTTTTTATTGCTATTTCGAGAGACGGCCATCGTCAGAACCTTGTGCGATATCTTCACAGCATCCGGTTATTCTATTCTGAGTACCTGTCTTGGATGTAGAGTGAGTTTCCGACAGCCGATTGTGCCACTCCGCAACAGAATCCATTCGTCATTCCAACTGCGGGTCCAGTGCTATAGAGTAACAGTGCTTTGCCCTCACAACAAGTTAAGATTATAGACTTCACTAGATCTAGCCTAGAACAGCAAATTTGAATATTATGAAGAAGCAGGTTTGTTCGAGAAACTAAAACGAAATGATATTGGAGTCGAACTTGATGCAGGAGACTGTAATACTTACTGGGAAATCAGAAATGTTTGGATCTTTCTAAAAATATTTTCGGGTTGGTTCTCGTTCAGGCAAGGATGCAGCTGGAATTCCAAGCTGTTACAAGATAATGTTCCAGATTCGGAAGTTGCCCTGCTGTCTAGATTGGAACCCTCTTCCACCGCAATGAAGCTAGCAGATCTTGAGTCTCCTTGATCATTACTTCTTAAATTGTAAACATTTTTGCCTTGTTGGAAATTAATCTGAAAAACTAAAAAAAAAATCAGTCCATTTAATTGTAAAAGTTGAATTCAGAAGTAAAATTGATTTTTGGCATTTTTCACTATTATTTACCTACTTTGTAATTAAATGTTAAAAATAACTTGCCTTAGTTGTTTTCTTGCGGCACCACTGCATCCATATTCTTCCTCGTTAATACACAGAGAAAAAAGACAAGCAAGGAGGCCCATTAAAGTCAGGGGCACCATAAGGCAGTATCTAAACATGTCATGCATTGCATAAGGACACTTTTAAACCCATCAGTTCACATTAATTTTTTCAACTCGGTTTTAAAGTTTATTCGGTTTCTTCAAAAACTGATATCGGTGTTCAAAGAGTGTTTAAAATTGGTTCTTGATAATGTTAGGATTATCATGACCATTAAACTGTCAGATTTCTTTTTGCAGAGAGAGTTTTTTGTGTACAGATTCCGGGATCTCTCTTTTATACTCTATGGTATCTAGTATAAAATAACCCCCATTGAAGAACTAAATCAACGGTTAAGCATATGCTGATTCCCCACCCCTTTTTAGAATGGGGGATAGTTCAAGATATCCAAATCCTGAAAAAAGTAAAAAAAAAACAACCTGTCCTGGTATGTTATCTGTGACTTCCCATTGAATATAATGAAGACTGCGAGGTTGCAGCAGAGCAGACTGGACACTAAGGAGAGGTTCCACAGTCCACTGTTCGTCGCCTCACTACTCCCATGTTTAGTACTCACTCTAAACTCCAAACAATTCAACCCTAGATGCTCATTTTTTTTAAATCATTTAATACCATATTAACTCAAAGTTTCTAGTAGCTCACTCATTTCTCGATCCCTAACTTTTAATATTTGACTAACACAAAACCAGCACATTTTGATATTTTAAGCAACTCTTTGATGGATTTACAAATGAGGAGGGAAACTGATTGAATACAAGGATCACTTTTTTATCATTCCAGTAATATCCTTCTTCCAACAATTTGAGGACCCCTTTAAGTAGGAAACTCACCGCTTGGGGGTCGTCTTTTAAGTTTATATATTTTTTGTATAATGGTAAAGTTTCCAGCTTTTTTTTATGGCGCCTAGCCATGTGTTTCCTTTTTTTACTTCGGCCTTTCTGGGTGAGGGGGATGTCTTCCAGTTTGCCGTAGCCGTTCCCACCTTAAGGAAGCGGATTATCTTAAGAACTATCAGATTCTTATGCCGATCATGAGTTTCCCCTCCCTTTCCAATAATTTGAAGCTTAACTTAATCTTTCAATTCAAAGAACTCGTCGAAACCATGTAAGGGGCGGATCAAAACAAAAAAATGCTTTTGTTTCACTGGGGAGTTATCACTACGAACCATTACTAGAGAATCACGTGTAACTAAATTCGGCAAATTTAGTGGAAAAACTAGAAATTTCCCAATAAATTTTACTGAGCACATTTGTTACACATTGTTTCTCTCTTAATGGTCCGCAGTGATGACCCCCGTAGTGAAAAAAAATCTATAATTTTGATCTAAGATCAGATATAAAGTCAAATAAAGTCACTTGCTCATTTTACAATCGTTTAATTTTAAACGATTTTTTCTGCTCGAAGTTTCTTCACTTTCTGGAAATGAACAAATATTGTACAATACCTGGCTATAACTGTAGTTCCGACTACGTATGAAAGCGATGAAGACCATCCAGCGAGTATGCAGCTGATGTAAACTAGGGACTCGATAGGGTAGAACAAAGACCCACAGAGGGATGCTTGTCCGACAGACCAGATAGCTGAAAGACAAAAACTACGCGGAATCTCCGCAATTTTTTGATATTTTGAACAGATTTGACATGGAAATTAATTAAACACACATTAAACTTGATATTTAAAAGTAGTTTTTATGTTGGTGTGACATTAGGCAAACGTTGACGAGGACAAAACTTGTTTAGAATTTAAGCAGAATTAAAATGATGCATTTTATTTTGCAAAACTCAAAAGTTTACGCCAAAATTACTTAATTGTTGATGAAACTATATCAAAGCAATCCTCTTATGTAGTCCAGCAAAAGTTAAAAAGGGTATAATATTTGCGATACCAAACTGCATGCCAAAATTCAAAAGATAGTCTGGCCTGTACAAAAAAAAGAAATAATTAACTGAATTTTTTGGAAATCGTCGCCTGAAAACTTTGGAAATTTTTGCAATTTTTATAGAACTTCAGTGCCAAAAAAGATTTAAAAAATTCATGCCACATAAACTCCATTCGTTTTTTTGATAACTATTAGAAGGAAAGGATATAAAAAGAGGTTTCGATCCAAAAATCACGATCCAAAAACTTCAAAAAACCAATGATCACCAAGAAACTTAGGTGAAAATTTTCGAACCAAACAAACTGCATGTTCATAAAAAAATTCGGACGTACAAAAAGAATTTTTGATTGCTTGCTATAAACAAAGATCAAAATCAGCGAAAAATTAAACATTGAGACTTCAAAAACTTGAATACAAAATTTTAAAAAAATTACTATAAAAGAAATTGCAAAAATTACAGAAAACTGTAAAAGCTTATGAAATTATTTCAAAAACATGTATCATGTTAAACATGAAGCTAAAACGCAACGGTAGGATAGCGAACTACAACAAAAAATCACAAATAAAAAAAGACGCCCGTAGTGAAGAAAAACATACACACAAATTTGTAACTTTCAAAACATTTCTGGCAGAAACAAGAAACAAACCACATTCCTAAATATCGTACAACACCCGCCAAATACTTTCATAGACAAGACGATCAAGTCAAATTTCAAAAACAAACTTTTCCCTTTTCCGGAAGTTTTTTTTCAGAAATTATTTTAGACTAATTTGGAAAAAAAATCAGACATTTAAACACTACACAGTGCCATCACCTTGATTTAATTTAAAATGAATATGCTCATATAAAATTTTGACTCTAATTTGTCTTCAACTAAATGAACACTCTATTAGGAAAAAATCTAAAACCATGAAATCGAAGAAAACAAAGCAAATAAAGAAAATAAAGACATCTTGAAATTGGAAATCATCCTGTGAACAAAGTTCTCTACGGGAAAAATGTTTGTACCCGATTGCAATACCTTCGTTATCGCAATGGTAATAAACCATTAAATTTTTTGATGGCAAAAAATTTCAAATTTATCATATTAGATAACAATTTTTATTTAATAACAAGTCTTAAACCTTTTACATGAATTTTTAGATATAAGGTGTTATTAAGTTTTGTTGAGCTACATACGAAGCTCATTTTAACATAATTTAATCAGCACGTTTGGCGTAATTTTTGATCAACTAAAAAAGCCAAAATAGATCAGCTTTCGAAGAAACGTTTTTGGTCCTAACTCTTGAAAATAAATTGCAACATTTTGTCCAAATTATGTTGAAATTTTAATCCAGTTTAATGTTCATCATTGTTTGTCTGAAGTCAGCCCATTTTTAAAATCAGCCCGCGTTTCAAATCCCAAAATTTCGTTTCGTCTGGATAATTTAAATCAGCACTATGCATAACTTCAATCAATCAATGGTTATAAAATTTCAAAGCTCAATGAATTCCCTGTTTAGCTTTCATTAGAGTTATCTATTTTTCACGGAACTGTTACTTCGGTGTCTTTTCACGCCAGAAAGCCGCAGGGTATCACTTTTTTCAGACTGTTTTTGCAGTTGATTTTAGAAGATATAATTAAATGAAAAATGAAGTATTTTTAGGCACATTTGAACAATCTTCTTCTCATTAGACAAGACAAAGTGAACGATCTCACCTGCATTTCGATTTTGGCGATTTAGAGTATTATTAGATTGTGTTGAAAAATGCTATTTGGTCGACCGAAAAATTATCCCGACTAAACCAGATTGAGGGGCAGATCATTCACTTCGATTCAAATTTATGTTCTTAACTTGATATTCAGTAAATCATAAAAGAAAACTTAGAATCAAACAAAAAAAACTATAAGGAAAACAAACGTTATTAATGGAGGTTTCATTTTTTACCTTCAACCTATCAGCGTTTTTTAAAGGAAGAAAAACACGGAACACAGCATTCAAAAAAAAATAGTTATATTTAAAGTTGTAACTTAAAGTTTAAAAATAGTTTACCAATTAATTAACCAAACAATTAGATTCACGACTGTTTTTGAATCTACACAGCAAAAATAGAATAAGGCTTATTGTATGTCGCAATACAAAAATAAATAGAGCGAGGATTTTTAATGCAGACAGATCATGCATGGTGTCAATGGTTATTGATGATTCAAAAGAATCTTATCATGTTAAATCATTTTGATCATTTGAAAATATCCAGTAACAGGAGCGTAAACGCATAAAAACTTCATTAAAAAAACGGTAATACATAAATATATTCAGTAGCGGATTTTTTTTTGGGGGGGGGGGGCTTGCCCCCTTTTCAGGGATTCGACCCCCTGCCGACCCAAAAGGTCCCCCCTTCGTACTATTTTGAGATATCCTTTTTTGGCTGACTGGCCTTCAAATTTTTCTAAAGGCGCCTTCGACGCCAATCCATACTAATTTTGAGGGGGAAGCGCGCCAAAAAAAACTTGTTTTGTTGCTCTAAATTTTCGAAAAAGCGCCTAAAAAGGCTTTTTTAAAGCGTTTTTAGGCGCTTTTAAAAAAAATTTTTAACAAATTTTTTTTAAAATTTGCCTGCAGCGCACAAAATTTGGCCGAAACTGCATCTTTTTAGTGCTTTAGGACAGCTCGGAAAATCAATTTGGTCGACCTAAAAAAAAATGATGTCAAAATTTTCGAACATTTTTTGAAAATCCGCCTCCCCTCTTGAGAAAATCCTCGATCCACTCTGAATATATCAATTTGAAATTGAACACACAAGTCAAAAAGAAACTGTCAGTATACCTGAAATCATATCCAATTTTTTAACAAAATTTTTAACACTTATTATTAAAAAAGTTAATTCTCTCTGACTATTGATTGCATCATATCGTCATTAACAACTTTGCCAATATCTATATTTTTGAGGGTTTGATCCGGCTGATTTGAAATCGGAGAGTACAGCAGCTTCTGTAACACAATAAAGGCTGTCTAATGTTTACACAAGCAAATACCTCTATGCTAAAACCGAGTTGTTTTTTCAAATTTAATTCGCATTAATTGCTTTTCAATAAACTTTCTTAACTCAGTAGTTGTCTGCTGCTCGTGGTTATCTGCATGGTTCTGTCCGCTTTTTGTTGGCAGTGTTTAAATGGAAAAAAAACTTAGTTCTGAAACGCGTTTTTTTAAGGTCGGTCAGCTAAAAATGGATTTCTTAAAAAGTACCGAAGGGAGACCCTTTGGGTCGACAGGGGGTCGAATCCCTGAGGAAAGGGGGGGGGGGGGGGGGAATGGAAGGCTTTTTTGATTTATTCTTTCATTTCAATCACGAAAAATGCCAGTTTGATTTTTGTTGTTCCATTTTACATATTTTTAGATATAGAAGGTCAAAAAAAGTTAGAAAAATCTTCAAAACAGAATCAAAACAATTCTTTTACAAATGACAATTTTTGAGTTTTTGTCTACAATTCTATGAACATTTTTGAAATATTTTTCAAGCCCACGTTTGAAAAAAAAGTAGCTCTTTGCTCCCTCCGCATCATCACCATGCACAATCATCAATTTTACAGTTTAATCAGTAGTTTTACAGGGTAGGTATAGATGCAACACAAATAGAAATCAGATTAACTTAAATGTTCCGCTGGCCAGTTTTTATGGGGCAGTACAACAGTGCCGAAAAAAATTAGTTCAACAGAGCCGAAAATGAAAACTTAGTTCAATAGTGCCAAAAATCTGAACGAATTTCAACATATTAGGTGCGGCAATCAAAAAATAAACGTCGTCGAACATTTACAATCATAAGTGACACTTGAGCAAAAAAATTTGCAATTTAGACGTTTTGGCGCCAAATTAATTGTTAAATTTGCAGTTGCAGACATCTTGGCGCCAAAATTGGAATGATTTTCTTTAATAATTAGCGTCAGTAAGTGCGTTTTAATTATTCTCAAATTTTCCCGCCTTTTTTGGCACTGTTGAACACCCCCATTTTCATCGGTGATTTATTACAATGCGGGCGTAACGACTTGCATGAGCTGCCGCTTAACATGCGCAATTAAAAAACTTCTGTTAGACGCGGCTCGCATTAGTTCGAGTCTTGTTGCAAATGTTACAAAACACACATTTAATTCTAATTGCTCTAATCGCCGCATGCTAAGCGACAGCATACAAGTTGGCCGGACTTCTATCACATTCGGTGGCAAATTCAAGTGAAATAACGGGATTGCGTTTTGTAGAATCTCGAACAGTATTTTCAATTCATTTTTAAGAGAAATTATCAAGCGAAAAAGCGTAAAAATTGACAGAAAATTATATGTTCAAAAGCTATCATAGTAGCATGTACAATTGACTAATAATGAAATGACTATATTATGCATTATAGATCAAGTTTAATACATATTCTAATAGTTCTCAAAGCTGCCACATTTTATAATTTTTGTTCCTATTTTTGTACAGAGGCGAAGCTTCGCTTCGCAATTACAAGCGAGAACACGACAAAAAGCAGTTCTATAAAGTCCAATAAAAAAGTTAAATTAAACCTTGCATTAGTAAAATTTTGGCCAAATCTTGGATAAAGCAGAGAGCAGATGCTGAAATTTCTACTGCTACAGATTGTGATTATAACAAAAGTGCCACCTGAACAAAAATGAACACTTTTATTTGTAACTTAGGTTAAAAAAGAAGTTTCGTACTAATTCACTACGCTGATCGCTAATATAATCATAATCAAGCATGGTGAGCAGAAGCAGGATTTCGCAAGTGAGGTGGGGGTTTGGGTAAAAAAAGCATTTTTCATGGTGAAGCGCTTAAATCTGAAATGGTTTTAGAGACATTCTGGATATTTTATCCCCAAATGGAATTTTTAGTTACAAACCTATGGTAGTTTTCAGCCCTAAAACATCCATGATAGACACAGCGTTTAGAGGACCAATTATGGCTGCGGCATACAAAGCCATTTGGGGTAAAAGACCGTCTATTGGGGGGTCCAAAGATCCAAGCACTGTTAGAAGACACCCTTGTGCTCCGAAGAAGCAAATTCCATTGCAGAGGAACACAAAGTAAAATGGTAAGAGAATTTTCGTCGATTTATTCATTTTATTCTTTCTCTGTGCAGAACAAAAAGAAATAAAAACTATTCATCGGTATTGCACAGCAACCGTATTTGTATTTTGCACAGCAACTGTATTTAATTGTATTGCACAGCAGCCTTACATGTACAAGTAAGCCTTATTTTTGACATTGACTTGTTCTTATAATTGATCGCTGAATGTTGATAATCAAGAATAATTTCAGCATTTTTTGACATAATGCAATTGATAGGAATTGTGACCAAAATAACTACTTGGACAAACAAATCAAAGTAAGAAACTTCTTATTGTTTGCACTATGCTCGTCCATGACTGAGATTTCTTGTCAAAATAGCTGATCACAGAAAGGTTAGACTAAGTTCGATAACATTTGACTAAGTTGCTCAAAAGGATTTAACATGTTGTTCTTGTAAATACTGAAGTTTTTTCAAAATTTTGATTGATATGCATACTAAGCAATTCAGTCTTTTAATTTTTAAGACAAGCTGATACTGAACTTAATCAATTAAGCATGCTCAGGGGCGGATTTTCTCGAGGGATGAAAGCTTGGATTGTCGCGTTTTTCGATTAAAACTTAGGAACAAACTGCGAGCTCTAATGTGAGCTTGGGTTAACGAATGTTTTGTTAAAAGTTAATACCAACCATTGAATGTCACAAACAAATTAAAACCGATCATTGAATGTCTCAAAACGATACCAAAGGAGGACTCTTTCGGCAGTCAGGTGGTCGAATCCCAGAAGGGGAGCCTCCGCCCCTTAAACCTCGCATGGTATAGAAAAAAAACTCAATTTAAATTAACGAAACCAAAAAAACCATGATCATAATTTTTTTCATTCAACGATTCTTCAAATTCAGAGATAGTTTTTCAAATCTGACACAAAATTGACCAGTTTCAGATTCGATGTCTTCAAATCCTTCACCAGTGACGCCAATGACACTGTCTGCAGACTCTCTTGACATCTTTTCACTCTGGTCACAGGTGGGCGTGGTCTCTTATTTAGAATTGGGGTGTCCAGGCTAGACCCTGGATTCCGACGGCACTTGAACCAATCTTCGATCACGCTCTAAAGCAATTTGGGCTCTTTTCCATTCCCCCACAAAAAATTTGGTGTACGTTATAACTCTTGTGATCTGCTAGATGATCTCGCTTATGTTTTTAACTACACAATTTTCAACCCAAAATATATTTTTTTTGAATAAGAATAAAGCACCCTTTTTTACAAGACGCAAAGAATGATCCGACCACAGTCATTTTTCGTTTAAAAATTTATCTGAACTTCTAGAAAATTATTTTCGTGAAAACTATTTACCAAAATTGGTCGGATACCCTTGTTTACCTTTTGGAATTATACAATTATATTTGAATTGAAATTTCGTTTCATTTACATATATTGGCTCCCTAAGCGCCCGAAGATGAAAAACAGAAACGCTGCATCCTTCAACATTGTGTCAATTTTTATATAACAAAAAAAGGCATGAAACCAATTGTCGAGTGTAATTCAAGGATGCGTATCATGCCTTAGACCATATAATTTAAGCTAAATTACATGAAATACCTGATTTCCCAAGTCCTGTAACTTCAGCCCCTTCAAGCTATCAGGAACTGCAAATGACGTTTCGCTACCTTCAGCCAGTCTGGCTTTCTTCGATTTTTTCACTCTGGGTGTCTTAGTTACATGTTCAGACTCGCCGCCAAAAATTTTTTCAATTTCTGCATCTACTTGTCTTTTTCTCGAAGTCGGAGTTTTCATAGAACTTTCGGGAGTTTTGGCATTGGTAATTTTTGTTGAGGCAATGGCAAAATAGTCTTTCACCGATTTCCGTTTACTTTCTGACGTTGGTTCATCGGCTGACTCTATATCAACAGTTTCAATAGTCTTCGAGGTTAATTTTGAGGCTGAAGAATCTTGATCGACAATTGTCGCAATCGGATTGCTCTCAAATAAACTGGGTTTCTCAACAGCAAGTGGTTGACTTCCATAACTAAGTATACAACAAAAACTAAACTTTAAGCATATATACAAATTAGAATTGGGCTTATAGCCAAACAGAATTCTTTTTACCTGGTGGGTTTGCTGATGAAAGCTTTTTCCCGCTCTTGAATGGCTGGCAAATCCTGATCGAAACAATCAGTCTCCACAAATGAACAAATTTCTACAAGGAAAAGTAAAAAACATATCCAACAAACGGACGGAAAAGTAACAATGAACAAGAAAAAAAATCAACTTCCGAGCTTCTAAACATATAATCCAACTTAATTTGAGAAATAGGTTCAACAGATAATTTATTTTGTACTCCGCTGGGAATTCTGGAAAGTAAAATCAACTTTTGCCGAAACTGAAGTCGTCACGTTTTTGCGCTCAATTTGATGTTTTGGTATTGGAGAACGTAATTTGTCTTTCTTTTGCAAATGAGTTTGAATTAAATTTAAAAAAAAAACAAATTTAAATCGTGAAAATTCAAAGAGCGCGATTAAAGCTAAAGACTTTTCCCGAAAAAACCAATGCGACCTATATATGGAAAATCACTATTGAGAAAAATACAGTTTTAGTGAGTTGCGGATTTGTAGAGGAGCCTGTCCTTCATCCTGCCTTAGTTGCCATTTAACGAACTTGATTTTAGCCAAAATGTGTTATACGCGAGGAGTACAACGCTCCAAAGAGCGGCTATGGCCGAGTGTGGGTAAGGCACATCTCTCAAAATGAGCGTAGTGCGTTCGAATCCCACTTCGGTCACGGTTAGAGGGGGTCTGATTTTCAATCATCCCTCAATGTGGGACCGGCTAAAGCGAAATCGATGACATCCCCCTTCCCACAGATGCTTCTGCTTTGAGCAAGACCGGGGTCTATTAAAAAACAAGGCTCCAAAAAATGCCCAATTGAAACTCGCATAAACACGCAACCTAAGATAGTGATTTCAACGCGGAGGCGAAGCTGCGCTTTGCAAACGCTAGCGAGAAAATGATAAGCAAGCGGCTCTTCTTCAGTGAACTAAGAAAAATTCAAAAAAGCCTCAAATTAGTACAACTCGTGCTACGCGACGGATTCGAAACAGAGATTATGAGTCTCACTTCTTTCCCATTCGGCCACGGATGTTCAATATTCAATAAATACTAGCCAAAACTGAAACAGAGAATAGATGCTATGAAATTTCCAATGCTACAGATCGTGATTATAGCAAAAGTATCACTAAATGAACACTTTGATTTGCGAGTTAGGTTGGAAAAAAGTAGGTTCATAATAATACACTATGCTCGCAAGCTTAAAGTGTAAATACGATGTACAGTCCAGATTTATAGTTCCACTTGACAAATAAAATTTTTAATACGGACGCTAAGGATTGTTTTATTTTCCACAATCTTTCTGCTGAAACAATGCATTTTTAAATTACTTGTTATTTACTTTTTACCAAACAGACGTTGAGTTATATGGAAAAGTGCACAGTTAATCCTGATGCGGCGCTTCATTTTAAAATTTTAGATACAACTAGAAAACATTGAGATCATATCTAGACAACACGGGAAGTATTATAAATTCTTTTTTTTTTCAACTGTTTAAAAAGAAGGATTTTGCTGACGTGAGAAGCAAAAACAAGATTCATTGTAATTGAGAACACGTTTAGATATCCACAACCTGAACATAGTAATTAACTTTCATAAAAACTGCACGTTATTACACAAAACCAACACTGAAGTTAACAAATATCTGTGGAAAAAAGACAAAATCGATCTATTAATTTCTACAAAAAAATATTAGACACAGAGGCAAAGCTGCGCTTCGCAAACACTTGCAAGAACGCGACCAAAAAGCAGCTCTATCAAGTTAAATACGAAAAAGTAGAAATAAGCCTCGAATTAGCAAAAACTCGGCTACATGTAGGATTCGAATCTGGAACCTACTGCAATCAAGAGATTTTGAGTCTCACGCACTATACCCTCAGCGAATCAAGCTTAACAACCGATAAACACTAGTCACAAATAAAGCAGCTACATATGCTAACAAACTGCAAATGCGGTTCAGCACCAAATACAAATGGACTCAATTTTGCAATTGATGATTTGAAATATAACAGACTGAGGGCATTCACACCAAATGTGCATAGAGCCACATTGTATAAATTATGCATTTCAAAAAACTCCGAGATATATTGATTTACAAAAATTTCTGAAATCAAGTTTTTGTAATTGTGATTGAAACAAATAGCTTTTTTCAGTTCATTTGATAAATTAAAAATGCATCAGCTAGGTTAATTTATTGCCATTCGAATGTAAAAGCACATGCTATCAAAAATATGTAAAGGTTCCGCACCATTAAAGGGTGTCACACCCATATTTGCGACTTAGGTTGGAAAAAAAGAAGGTGCGTACTAAAACACTAGCTTCGCAAGGGTAAAAATAAGATATTACCACTGCTTCGAGACTATGAAAATCAAACCAGATATACTAACTAGAAATTGATTCCATTGAGCTCTAAGCATACTTGTCAACGGGCCGGGCCGCCCGTGGGCCTCAACGGGCCGGGCTGAGGTTTTCACTTTTGTCAACGGGCCCCAACGGGCCTTACTTTTATTGACTATCCAACTTGCAGCTTGCAGTGTGCTAAACGACATGACTACTACGTTCACTGCCGATTCACTGCAGAAACAAATTCGGTAAAACGGGCAAAACTTTCGCCTACAACCGTTGAGGCAATTGAAATGGTTTCCATGGCTTTTAAAAAAGGTCTGTATAAATAAGTAAAACAATTAATTAAAATTGTTTTGAAACAAATTTGTGTTTTACCAAAAAAGCAGCAACGGGCCGATATTTAATAAATTCCCTGTTTATCGGGCCGCCAACGGGCTCGACTTGAATTATATCGGGCCGGACCGGGCCTCAATTATGGCGGCCCGTTAACAAGTCTGGCTCTAAGCCATTGATCCTTACCTTTATTTACAAAAACCAACCAGGCAGCAAACATTGTGCTTTAAAAGCGGATTCAGATAAGGCTTGCTGATACGCATAAACTCTTTGTTAGAAAAATAGTAGATTGAAATTATAACACTACGAGTCAAGTGAAATTACGAAGATGACTCTCCTTGCACTCCCTTCGCTTCAATAGCGGCAAGTTGGTTTCGAAAAAAGTTTTATCAACTAAGAATTCAGTCAAGACCTTCACGGAAAAAGCACAACAGCTTTAATATTTTAGCAAACTAGATTACTCACCAACTTTTCCTGCGATATCTGAAATATTCGTTGAAGAGGACGGAAAAATAAACTATTGTTTAAGTAATCTTTGAATTGTTCCAACTACTTAAAATTTACTTCCTGAATCTTCAGTTAGCGCCTCCCATACTTTATTTCATTAAGTTCAGATTAATATCAAATTTTTGTTTTGTATTTTATCAGCCAAACTGGTAATTCTTTTCCCAAAATTCTCTATGCGACTCACAGCCCATCCCAACCATTAACTATTTGAAACCATTCATATTTTCTAAGTAGTTTCATTAGGAAAAACTTCATTAAACTTTTTAGAAAAAAAAACAATTCATAAATATAAAGTTGTTCCGAATGTTCAAGTGATTTCCTTTGTACGGATACATTTAGGATTTCAATTACTGTTTTAAAATTCTTTTGAGATTGAAGTCATTTTGTAATTTGTAAGTTTTATTCAAGAAGCTCAATGAGTATCATAGCCACCATTTAACCTGTTACATGGCCCATTGCGTCTTGATTTCATCAAATAACATCACTGCGAGGATTGGTAAAAATTAGGATAATTACTATTCAGATTTTGCTGAGCCAATATTTTTTTTCATAGTTAGTTTTTTTTTAATTTTAAAGGCTGAATAATTTTCATTTCCAAACAGCGCTAGTCCGTTTCCATTAAATTTACTCAATAACCAACCTTCAGCCTTATCTTGATTCAAATGTCCAATGAGATCTGTAATATCTCTTGATCCAGAAGTAAATTCACTTGTTTCTTGACTATCAAGTTCATTCTTTGAGACTAAACCTTCAATCTTGATCTTGCTTTGGCTATTCCGTTTAAACAGCCTCATTTTCAAAAAACTATGTTCACTGAAATATCGTCCAATTTCGATTTGATCTTTTGGATATCGGATTTTCAAAAAGCATGAGTCAAACTAAATTCTAGGAAAACAAGTTTAGGATATACATATAATGAAGTTTATGTACAATTAGTACGTGTGCATACGATTAATTTACACTACGTGCAAGTTATTTTTACATAGCAATATTTTATACACAACATTTGATAGTTAGGACGTCAAAAAATAAAAGTATTCTCGTTTAGCGTCATGCAATTGTCCAGTTTCTTTCACAAATTGAGAATTATACATTATCAAGATCTTTTCAGAATATTTCTTCAATTTTCATCAATTTTTTAGTAATTTAAAAGCCTAGATTCACTTCAAAAGCGTGAGGGCTTTTCTCATGAGCGAAGGACCGAATGCACGAAACTTCTCAGCCAAGCAACGGTCTTTAACCTCCAAAAATGACTGATTTTATCGCTTATTTCTTGCAAATTTATGAATACTGAATTCTGATTGGCTGGACTATATTTCGCGCATGAAAAACTCACCCATTGTTGAAACTGGATAAATATTGGACAAACAAATCTGATCACATTTGTTGTTCAGTGTTATTCGTGTCGCTCACAAAATCCGAGTCGTAGAAATCCGACTCAGTCACGTGAAAATTTTCTAGAACTATTTTTCCAACATCCTTTTCTTTCGTCTTATCGTCCGATGAGGTCCATGTTGTATCTTCTTCAAGTCTAGTGACTTGGCCAGAAATTGTATCATCAATTTCTGTTCGAAATTTTCTTTCATCGTCTCTCTTCCGCTCTTTGTAGGTGTTCACTTCTCGCATATTTTCAGATAGTGAGATGGACTCTTGATCGGTAGTTGAATTCAACTCGACGTGGTCGTTATTAGCAGACCATTCTGACTGTTGTTTATCTTTATGTTGTATCTCAACGAAAGGGGAGGTGTTCGGAGGTGTTTTGTGGTCCCCTTCAGGAGGCGAAAAGGGTTCAAGTTGATTTTTCTTCACTTTTTTCTTTTTCTTTTGTTGCTTCACTTTAGAAATTGCTTCATCATCTAAAACACCAATTAGCTATTACATGGTATAATACATATTATTGGATGATTCAAGCACATGCTTCCATTAAATACATGCACTTAAATTCAATTATAGATTATTTTGAAACTGACAACTTTTATTGATATTTTCAGTGACATTCTGACCGGGCCGCCAGCTGTTACAACTCAGTCACCACACTTAACTTCAATTCATGTTTAAATGGCTGAAATATTTTATTGTGAAAGATTAAAAATTATACGGTGACTTAAAATATATCCAAACAAAATTCCACTAAAGAAAATTTTATAAGTCGATTAAGGTTGAGCAGATTTTTGAACAAGGGTTTGCAAAATAACTAGTCAAGTCTTTCCCCGTGGTAAAAAGTCTTTCGCCGCTCGAAAACATTGAGCGTGCTTCTAGAAAGATCTTTGTTGTATAAGAAAGTCTTTTTTTTATAAGTTTTCGACCTGAACTGCAAACAAAAAATCCCCGAAATCATAGTTTCCGGATACCGTAATGATTAAACTGATGATGTAAAATTTAATACAAAACTATTTCATTTCAAGAGAAATGTTATTTCAACGGGCTTGATTAAATCTTCTATAAATCATCAATGAATCACATTTCAGCCTTCTCATTGTGATATTTGAGAAAACATTCCCATCTCTTAAAATCTTACTTAGAGGAGGTAGTTGTCTGTGATTCTGACTATCAGCGCCTTTATGTTGCAGCTCTAGGCCATTATCACCCGCCAAATTTCTTTCCCGGTATCGATTTTCGCCCACAATGAAAACATTCTCGATTCTACCCGAGTGCGGATGATTCATACTCGATCCAATATTTCGTTCCAGCTCTAAGTTAGATCCATTTTCACTAGAATTGGAGTTCGGACTGTGAAAATTTGTAGAGAAAATCGGGGTTCGACCAAGGTTGCTCTTGTTGGACCGCATTGATTCTGATAAACTATTGTTTAGATCATTACCCACTTGTTGCTAAAAAGAGAAAAATTAAGGGTATTTTAAATCCTGTTTTTCTAACACAATTTACAAAATATCACATCAAAAACGTTTCCTTTTATAAATATCATCAAATATCGTATATCGTTTCAGGAGCTGCAATTTTGTTTTTAAAAGACTGACATATGGTAACAAACTAAACAACTCTCGGGACCTTTTCTGGCCTTGACAAAAAAAACGTTGATATTGACTCGAAAAACTATTAGTATGAACGCTGGCTTATTCCGTTTTCAGCTGATTCAACTTAAATACAAACATTGAATTTTATCCCTCCTCTCCATCATAATACAAACATTGAGTTTTATGGCACAGACAGCTTGTTTGAACAACTTTTCGAGTGACAGCATAGATAAATTTAATTACCATTGAAACAAATTGTTTATTACAATTTCTATATTTAAGCTGGAAAGTTTGTAGGGGGAGATGATAAGAGGCTTCATCTGACTTACCATGACTTCGGCAAACTGCTTCATTCTGTCTTGACTCAAAGAGAGGGCAGCGTCACTTGCCCCCTCCCCCGCACCTGTCAATCTGTCGTTATTATCCTTCGCAAAGGTGGCTGTAGTTGTAGTTGCACCGCTGTCTTTTTCTTCCTTCTCTTGTACTTTCTTTTCCCTAATTAACGCGAACTTTAAATTGTATGTTGAAATTTAAAAAAAATATTCAAGATTCCGCTGACTTTTCTGTTCGATTCGAAAATAACTTAGAAAACAGACAGTTGGAAAACTGCCAATGAACTAAAGGACGCAAAAAGATCGACTGATTTTTTGCAGTTTGTGAACAATTTTCTGATAAAACAAACCTAATATATGAAAACTGGATAAAAATTTCGATAAATTGATTAAAAATTGCGAAAAAAAATTAACTGTTTGATTTTCTTTCAATTTTCGGTGACAATATTCATCACGTTGAAGCTTTTTGAATTTCAAGAATCTTTTATGATTGAAATTTTCCGCTAAATATGACCAAATTTACGAAAACCGGATGAAATGGAAAAGTTATTATCCCGCTGCGAAATATATTAATTAAAGTCCCACTTTCGAAACTACAAATCGTTCGTATTTTTGCGCCATTTCCTTTTCTTCGCCTTCCTTTCAGTAATTAATGCATGGACTAAATTACACTAATCCAAAAAAGTTAATGTACAGATAGAGATAAATGAACCTAAATATGCAGTTTTCAATGAATTGCAGTTTTCAATGAACTGATAGATAAATGAACCTAAATATGCAGTTTTTAATGAACCTAAATTTCGACACTTCAAAATAAAACTTAACTTTGAAACTAAGTCAAGCTTTTCATTCCATCTGACGCTAAATTTTATTTGCGCTGAAACTTAAAACACCCGATTACAAATTCGATCCATCTTTGTGGTCGAAAGAAAGAAATCGGTCACCCGAGTATAAGAATTCACCTTGCTAGAAAATATAATATATTAAAGATCACTCAGTTGAAAAATCTATATGACTGAAAAGTTTTCAAATTCAACAAAAAAATGATAAAGTAAATCTCAGTAAATTTGAAAATGAATTTTGAAGAAATCAAAAATCAAAGTTGTCAAAATAGAGAAGTGCATTAAACCCGGAACAAATTGTTAGTATAATCTAGCAAACAGAAATTGAAACTGAAGCCACTATGTCACAGTTTTTTTTGGAAAACGTCGCAAAAGTAGTTGTCCTTCGAGGTTCAATTTGAGGAAAAGCGTTCAACTAAGCCAGCCAAAATTGGGTAAACGCCCTTTGAGCTAAATCAATAACTGTTGCCATAAACACTAGTTTAGTTTATGACGTTTGGATAACCTGAAACTTAACATCTCCACGATAACATCAAGTACTATTTTTTTTCAAGCGGCTAAAAATTAGGTCCGTAAATCGATATAACAAAAGTCGAAACCATACTGGTATAATAAAGCTTTTGAGCAAAAGAAAAGACAAGGAGAAAATACACCAGTTTCGAATTAGTAAAATTACAAATTACAGAATTACTATAAACTACCAATGCATTTATTGTCCGTATTCCCACTGTGAAGGGTTTGACGTTCGGAAAGTGCGTAAGCAATGGTATATCTGGAAATCTTGACAAATTCCAGCATTCAGATGAGGGCATTCTGAAAATGCCTTCAAGATAATTAATGAAAGAAAATACGTTTTTCCCTGCCATTCGATCAGCGGTCTGTGGGTTTGAGGCTTTAAGTATTCAAGTCCCGTTTAACACAATGGATCCAGCCTTTTTCGGTTTTCCTGGTGGTCTTTTCATGGAAACTGACATACGGTCTGCTGATTTTACCGCATTCTCTTCGGTGGAAATGGTCAAACCATCGTAGCTGTGACAGCACTTGTAGCTTGTCCAGATCAACAAGACCTGTCATTTTAATTACTGCTTGTCTTGATAACTGACTCCTGTAATCCTACGCAGAGCTTCCATGTCAGCACTCTTATGATAGCTATATATCGCCCAGGTCGGCGCCCAGGTTTCAGAGCAATTCATCAGAACTAACTGGCCGAAGACAAGCTCTGTAGATATGACACCTTGTAATCTATCTAGTCAATATCTTTATTCAGCAGCAGAGGCGCAATTTGCCGCCCTTTCGTCCAGAAAGCTGCTATTCTGACCGATGATGCACGTAATGCCTCACTTACTTTAGAAACCATGTCACCCAGATAGCAGTAACCAGGGTTTCAGATTGATTGATCCGTAGAGTAGCATCCTGATTTCAGCGATAAAATGAAAGAGTATTGCGTCTTCGACAAACATAATTAGTATTGTTTCGATAGTTTCCTCATACCACTACATTACTCATTCACGCATTCATTACAATAATTGCAGCTTATTGAAATGGAACCGAGTCCCTTTAAACAACAAGCGCATGGGTATTTTTTGGTTTTTCGAAGAGTGCATTTTCACTGCATCCTTCGCGCCGGCGAACTCTGTTTTTCGACTTGGTGTAAAGAAACATTATCAATCGTCCCAGATTTTCAGGAACTCTGTTGCCTCACAGCCCATGGGATCAAATCCTGAGGAACATGGTCGAAAGCTTTTTCGAGATCAACAAATATGTGATACAGAGGTTTCTCCTTTTCTGCAAATAGTTCTTTTAATTGTCTAAAATGGAAAACGGCAACGGTAGTTGATCTAGCACCGATAAAGACCAATTATATGTCTTTTTTTACCAATTGCCACAGATGCTTTCGTAATACTTATGCTAAAGCTTTCAATGCATGTTCAAGTAATCGGATGCACATTCAAATGAAATGCCTTTTACTTTGAAAAAAGTAACACCGCCACACTTAGGATTCCTATAATTTTTACCATGCAAAATACGGTAGCACGAAAAACTTAAGATGTTTTCGAGCAATGTACCATATTAAATCCCTTTCTGTCGTAACTCGAGCTGCAACATCAAATTTCCCGAAAGTGTTGAGAAATGCAATTAAATTGATTCTTCTAATTTTCTAAAATATTTTCACTGGCAGCATTGAAATTAGCATCAAAATATTCGAGAAAGACAAAAAACTACATCTATCAAAATAATTAAGATAGTTTTGAAAAAAAAACACATACCCAAAACAATAGCAGTCAGAAGCATCTGAAGAAACTAGTTTTGAAAAAAAAAGCCAAGATAAGAAAATTCGGAAGCAACGGAAGAAATTACTACCGGAACAAAACTTACCAAGCGGCAAAAAGTCGAAAACACCTATGCAGAAACCTTCTAAGGCCAAAAAAAATTAAAGAGACTTTAAAGTAATCAAAAGAAGTATTTAAGTCCCCTCACCCTAAAAAAACACGCATACGTTTACAAACATTTTATTTCACTCATTAAACGCTGCAATATGAGGTCATTAAAGTGATTTAAAAAAAATAGGGCGAAATAGGGCTATTAAGCCTAATAAAGGAAACGGAAAATTAAACAAAATGAGTTGGTAAAATTTCAATCAATATAGAAGCAAATTTCGAATAGTACGGATACTTTAAAATCTAACGTGCACAAAATATGCTGTTGCGGTAAATTTGTTGCCAAAAGGCCCCCAGGAAATGAGTCCAGATGAGTCCTATGATCAAAAATTTTTAGGGGAAAAAGTCTAGAACCCGGTTGCAACATGCTTGTTATCGCAAATGTAATAACGTAGCTGCAAAGTAATGATTGATGCTCACCTCTCTTCTTTCAGTTTTCCTATTCGTTCAGTCTTTGCCTTGCGCTCCTCGTCTGCTTTTTCCTTAGCCACCTTCATGTCACTACTCGTTCTTTCATCCAGGGACTCCCAATCGTCCAAAACACTCTCCACTATCCATCTACATACATACGTAATATTTAAATTTTGAACTAAACTTCTCATGAGCAAGAAATTTAAAGGTGAATGCATAAGAACCTTTAATGATATATAGTAGAGTGTCGAGGGGGGAGGTCGACCCCTCCCCCGCCCCCTTAACTAATGGTTGCCAAATTTTACCAAAGGGTCCCCCTTTGGTATAAGTTTTCGAGATCCATTGTTGGCTGTCCAACATCAAAAATTTTCTGAAGGCGCCTTCGGCACCAATATAACTAAGTTTGAGGGGGGAGTGCGCGCTGAAAAATGCCTGTCTTAAAACGCATTTTGTTGGCCTGTTTTTTTGAAAGATTTGCCAGCTTTGCAATAAATTTTTGACAAAAAAAGGTCCTAGTATTTTCAGAGAGCTCAGAAAATCAAATGAATTGACTTAAAAAAAGCCCGCAAAATTTTTCGAAAAACCAAAACCACCACCACCTCCCCCAGAAAAATTTCTGCGTACGTCACTGATGCTTTAATATAGACATTTTTTGACCAAACGTGATAGTATCCCAGCTGGAGATTCTGCAACACTCCCATATTTTAAGATTTCCGTCAGCCTTTTCCTTGGATCGATCACTTTTTTCATGTTTTTGTGCTAGCTTGTTTTTGGTTGGTCTACTTTCTAACAAAAAATTCATATTTGGTGCTATTTGACATGGAATTTAGTGAAAAGAACCCACTTGAAAGCGTCTTTTATTTGTGACTGTTTGTTTTTACTGTTCCACTTGGATGGTTTGTTTGGCAGATCTGTGCTTCCAATGCCACTGTTCAGAGCAGAACACACTTGCTGAACACAAAATTCCAGGTTAATTAATTAACTAAGAGTTGATTTCTAAACAATTTCTAAATTGGCTACAAAACCAGAGATTTTAAATTTATTGGTCACGCCAAGCAAGCACCAAGAAGTAAAATTAACCTCTTTGCGTTCATTATTTGAATCTATTGACGCTTCTATGAGACTAAGGAGTAAAAAACTAGTTTAGACTCACTAATCTGCAGCTGCACTTTGATTGAGTGGCGAGAGATTCTAGATCCAAAATCTGCTCTATTTCTCTCTCCGTCAGAGCACCCTCTTTGTCTTGCTTGTTGGCCAAACTGAAAAATAAAAAAATAAAGAGAAAATAGGTCAAAAGCGCCTTTAAACTTTATTTTCAAATCAGCTTGCTGAAAATTGCCTTAAAACAACCTTTGTCTCATAAAACCTTGTTGAGTAGATATGTTTGCTATTGCTATTTTCAAACATTAAAAAAAGAGAAAGAATCAACTCTCTATATTCCACGAACCCCCTCCTAATTTTGGTGACCCCAGTATAATGGGTTGTAATATCAATGCCGAAATTCAGTAAAGCTGGAAAGACATGCAACGAGTACTCCAAATCATTGTCGTAACAAACGAGAAATTAACAAATCTTTGACAACAAGGTTTCTATGTCAAGTAAACTTCACTCACATTAGACACGGTTTGCCCTTCAACGTCGGCTCCATCATCACCTTCTGCAGACTATTCTTGACCTCATTTAACCTCCCAAGGTCAGTGGAGTCCAACACGTATATGAACCCATGCACGTCTGCATAGTAGCTGGACCATATGCCTCTTATTGTTGGTCCTCCACCGACGTCAAACAGGGTTATGTTCAGTCGGCCGAATTTGAGGGAGATGTTTGAGAAGCCTAAACTAGGAGTGACGTCTTCTTTGCTCTCTGAAAACAAACAAAAAATTAAGTGAAAAAACACTTCGTACATAAACATCCAATTTAAACCCTAAAGAATAAAAACAAATTTCCATACTACATAACCCATATCTACTTTCTGATTGAGTACTGTATCCATTTGAACTGAACTTAGTTATTACTTTGGTCACAAAAATCTACTAAGGCGATGTAATTTTTAAAAAAATTATCTGGGCAGTTAGTTAAAGTAAGAAGTAGATTCTACAGTCTGCGACATTAATTTTTACATTTATTTTGTTCAAAAGATAAGTTTTTTTTATCCTTTAATGAATTCTGGTAACTTACCTCCTTTCAGATCCCTGACAGTGGTTGTTTTCCCGGCATTGTCGAAGCCCAAAATTATCAAGGTTACATTTCTAGACTGTGCAGCTCGTTTCTTGTTAGAGTAACAGTTCCCCAGCAAACTAGATCAAAGAGAAGCAAGAATAGCTCGTTTGTTAGGCAAGAAGTAGAAAAGATCCGAGATCAACTAATTTTGCAAAAAAAAACACATCGAAAAAATTTTTAATACCGTTTTTGACTAGCGGAAGGCAGAAGTGACCTTAAGCTAGCTCAATTCAACCTCGTAACGGCTTGATTAAGCAAAACCAATTTTTCCGTACTGACTTTTTTGAAACCTAAAGTTATATTGTAGATCATATCAACCTAAAATTATTTTTTATACCTTTCAACCGAAAAAAATATTAATGGTTAACACACAGGCGAAGTTGCACTTCGCATACACAAGCAAAAATATGACTGATAACCCTACTGGGAAAAACTGAATGAGTAAAATTTTGAGTCTACATAATTTCTGAGGTGACACACGCCAATTATGAGTCTACATAATAGCTAAAGGACGCAGGCCAACTATGACGCATTAGCTGTACCAGTCAATTTGATAACAAAAATTTACCATTTAACACGCCTCAATTTATCGAGCGGACGCATTTTAACTACATTATGAAAAAAAATCATTACAAACATCCGACACTGACCAGATTTGAACCCTCTTATTTTGTTGCGCGTCTCCTTCCCTACCTCTGCGCTACATATCCATGATACCTTGAAGCTAAAGTGCTATTTGTAATATGATAGTCTGAGTTAATATCCTTATCATTAGCTGTACTTAATAGCTGGTCGATTAACTTATGCATATACTGCGATAAAAGAACACTTTCAACATGAACACTAAAATTTGCGACTTAGATTGAAAAAAAGAGAGTTCATACTACCAAATAAGCTTTGTTTGCACAAATAAGCTTTGTTTGCGCAAATAAGCCGTTGTTAGTTTGTTATAAGAAGGATCGAAGTCCCATAACGCAATTTAAAATTTTATTTTTTTTAGACAAAACGAACACTCTTCGTATTGATTCGTTTGAAATTAAAAATGGAATTTACTCTAAAATAGTCTAAAAATCAAAAACGTCTACAAAAATTTCCTCGAACATTTTTTAAGAAGTTTCCATAAATTGAGTGAATTACGTCTCCAAATGATTTCTTAACTTATATCACTCAAACATATCTGTTGTTGTGCTGAGTGACTTTGGGTGGGAAGTACAAAAATATTACATTCCCGAATACAAAGTTCCTTCATTCCGGTCGAAACAACAAAAAATTCATGAGGCTTCAATAAATTTTCGAAGATATTTGTGCCCTCTTATTCTGTTGCTCTCAGAACTTCAAACTCTTTATATCCGAAAGAGTCCCACTTCTTTAGTTTCACAAATTTTCTTACACAAGATACATCCTTAAGTTAAGGAACGCTCAAAAACGACATTGAATGGTGAAAAAATTCCAAAAAGAGCTAACCCTCAAGAAAGCCCAGAAATTACTGTTTTTCGTTTCGTCGTCAAAGGGGGGAAAAAATAATTTTTTTGACACAGAAGCGAAGTTTCGCAACAGTTGCGATGCAAAAAAACGAACTGCGCCAAAAGATAGTGAATGAAAACAAGACAGAAGTCAAACCAATTCTTGAAAAATTATGTTGAAAAAACGTAATAGAAAACATAATTTGACAAAAGTTGAAAACTTACAGCTTAAAAAAGTTCAAATTTGTATCAAATGAAGTTCATAAACAGCCCTTGAAAATGGAAATAAATTACCGAGCGGTAACAAAGGCGACAAAACTTTTGGTCGTAACCTGTTAAGCTGTTGTCAAAAAAGTATTCATAAAATATGAAAAATTTTATGACCCATGCAAATTGAAACACATAATACCAAACGTATATATTTTGCCCTCTAACTTAAGCAAAAAAAGTTGACTAAGTCGATTTAACAAACTGAAACTGTTGGAATATTTGAAAAAAAAAACGAAAAAAGAAACTCACAACCAGAAATGGTAATATTACAATTTTGTAAAGATTCGGTTATAGTGAAAACTGATTAAAATGGAACAAAACCCTTGCTTGAAAAATTGAAACAATAAGAACCTTACCAGATTTTTAAAAATGGGATTTAAAAAAAGTAAATTGAACGGACAGAAATACGGACGAAAACCACGAACCCAAAAAAAACCCACATTTTTTTGAAAAAGTTAAAACAACCTGAAACGTGTATGAACTAAATACTACTTTAGTATTAGTTCTTTTATTTGAAAATTGAAGAAACTGAGCATGTCAGGAGATCTCTAGGAGAGATTCTCTAGAAGTGTGGACAAAATTGTTTACGAGAAAAAAGTCTAGTACCCGATTGCAATACCTTTGCTTATCGCAAGGATAATAAACAAACCAATTCGAGAAAACACGCAAACTTCTTCTTTCGCTAAGAAGCCTGAAATTTTAAATCCACTTGAAACTAAATGCCAAGTTCCATTTTTCTTTCCTTTAATCTTTTGGTTTGAAGAACGTAATTTTATTCTGATTAGAACAAAATTCAACTTTCAATTAAGCAAAAATGATCAAGTTAGCAATTTTCCTCGAACTTTTTTTTAGAAGTTTCTATAAATTGAGTGAATTACGTCTCTAAATGATTTCTTAACTTATATTACTCAAATTTATCTGGCGTTGTTTTTGTGGTGAGTGACTTTGGGTGTGAAGTACAAAAATATTACATTCCCGAATACAAAATTCCTTCATTCCGGTCGAAACAACAAAAAATTCATGAGGCTTCAATAAATTTTCGAAGATATTTGTGCCCTCTTATTCTGTTGCTCTCAGAACTTCAAACTCTTCATATCCGAAAGAGTCCCACTTCCTTAGTTTCACAAATTTTTTTATACTAGATACATCCTTAAGTTAAGGAACGCTCAAAAACGACATTGAACGGTGAAAAAATTTCAAAAAGAGCTAACCCTCAAGAAAGCCCAGAAATTACTGTTTTTTGTTTCGTCATCAAAGGGGGAAAAAGATTATTTTTTTGACGCAGAAGCGAAGCTTCGCAACACTTGCGATGCAAAAAAAAACAAACTGCACCACAAGATAGTGAATGAAAACAAGACAGAAGTCAAAACAAATCTTGAAAAATTATGTTAAAACGTAATAGAAAACCGCCCTTAAAAAATGGAAATCAATAACCGAGCGGTAACAAAGCCGACAAACTTTGGGTCATAACCTGTTATCATAAAAATATTCATAAAATATTAAAAATTTTATGACCCTTGCAAATTGAAACACATAATCCCACACGTATATATTTTGCCCTCGAACTTAAGCAAAATAAGTTGACTAAGTCGATTTAACAAACTGAAACTGTTGGAATATTAAAAAAAAAAAAAAGAAACTCAAAACCACAAATGGTAAAATTACAATTTTGTAAAGTTTCGGTTATAGTGAAAACTGATTAAAATGGAACAAAACCCTTGCTTTAAAAAGTGAAACAAAAAAAACTTATGAGATTTGAAAAATGGGGTTTAAAAAGAAGGAAATTGAACCGACAGAAACTAGGACGAAAACCACGAACCCAAAAAAAACGCCACATTTTTTTGAAAAAATTAATACAACCTGAAACGTTTGCAATACCTTTGCTTATCGCAAGGATAATAAACAAACCAATTCGAGAAAACACGCAAACTTCTTCTTTCGCTAAGAAGCCTGAAATTTTCAAACCACTTGAAACTAAATGCCAAGTTCCATGTTTCTTTCCTTCAATCTTTTGGTTTGAAGAACTTAATTTTATTCTGATTAGAAAAAAATTCAACTTTCAATTAAGCAAAAATGATCAGGTTAGCAATTTTCCTCGAACTTTTTTTTTTAGAAGTTTCTATAAAATGAGTGAATTACGTCTCCAAATGATTTCTTAACTGATATTATTCAAATATATCTGGTGTTGTTTTTGTGGTGAGTGACTTTGGGTGGGAAGTACAAAAATATTACATTCCCGAATACAAAATTCTCTTCATTCCGGTCGAAACAAAAAATTCATGAGGCTTCAATATAAATTCGAAGATATTTGTGCCCTCTTATTCTGTTGCTCTCAGAACTTCAAACTCTTCATATCCAAAAGAGTCCCACTTCCTTAATTTCACAAATTTTCTTACACTAGATACATCTTTAAGTTAAGGAACGCTCAAAAACGACATTGAACGGTGAAAAAATTCCAAAAAGAGCTAGCCCTCAAGAAAGCCCAGAAATTACTGTTTTTCGTTTCGTCATCAGAGGGGGAAACAGATTATTTTTTTTACACAAAACCGAAGCTTCGCAACACTTGCGATGCAAAAAAAACAAACTGCGCCACAAGATAATGAATGAAAACAAGACAGAAGTCAAACCAAATCTTGAAAAATTATGTTGAAAAAACGTAATAGAAAACGTAATTTGAACTTACAGCTTAAAAAAAGTTCAAATTTGTATCGAATGAAGTTCATAAACAGCCCTTAAAATTACCGAGCGGTAACCAAGGCGACAAACTTTGGGTCATAACCTGTTAAGCTGTTGTCATAAAAACATTCATAAAATATAAAAAATTTTATGACCCATGCAAATTGAAACATATAATCCCACACGTATATATTTTGCCCTCGAACTTAACCAAAATAAGTTGACTAAGTCGATTTAACAAACTGAAACTGTTGGAATATTTGAAAAAAGAAACTCAAAACCAGAAATGGTAAAATCACAATTTTGTAAAGTTTCGGTTATAGTAAAAACTGATTAAAATGGAACAAAACCCTTGCTTATTGCAAGGATAATAAACAAACCAATTCGAGAAAACACACAAACTTCTTCTTTCGCTATGAAGCCTGAAAATTTAAATCCGCTTGAAACTATATGCCAAGTTCCCTTTTTCTTTCCTTTAATCATTTGGTTTGAAGAACGAAATTTTATTCTGATTAGAACAAAATTTAACTTTCAATTAAGCAAAAATGATAAAGTTAGCAAATCATGAATAAGTTAGTAAGACAGAGGCGAGCGGAGCTTCCCATCACTTCGGATACAATATAAGGGTAGCAGTGCAAGCTAGCGAATAGAAAATGAGAGAATAACAAATTCAAAAAAAAAGTTGCGAAAAAATGAAAATAAATTCAGAAAAGCGCAAACACCAATATTAAATATAGCCTTCAGTTTTTACTGAGCGGTCAATAAGCCGAAAAAAGTGGGTGGACGACCATTGAACTGAAAACAAAAAACGCCAAAAGAAATTGTTGTCAAAAAATTTCAGCAATTAGTTTTCAACAAAAAACTACCTGAACTTTTCAAAAAATCACTCCATTATTGCCTTTGAAGTGACACAAAAGGAGTTAAGTAAGTCGATAAAACATAAACTAAAACCACTTATACCGAATTAAACAACGAAGGAAAACCAAGAAAAACATACAACATCAAGGCTTATCTTTTTTTTTTACAAATTAAAGGAGTAAATAAAAAACACAAGAAAAGTCCACGATGTGACGACTAAGCCGACAAAACGTCAGAGGAAAAAAGTCCGACAATTCATTTTTTTTCCGAAAAAAAACATACAAAGACAAGGTCTGGCCGGGATTCGAACCCACAATCTTTGTGTACCAAGACAACCATGTTACCTCTATGCCAAACGGGAACTCTAATTTGCTAAGGTTCACTAATGAAGCAACTTCACAAGTTCTTACAGATTTGCAAGAAAGATGTTAATGGGAAACATAGTCTAGTTCCCGATTACTAAACACTTGCTCTCGCAAGTGTAATAAATTCTCGAGAAAGAAAATACCTCAAGACTAAAAAAATAACGATTTCATTTATTCAATAACGATCTTTATTCAAATACAGAAATAGAAAATAGTATAATAATACAAAGGCAAAGCGGAGCTCCACACCACTTGCGATACCACAAAATATGAAACGAAAGCCATTAAGTAAAAAAAAGTAAAAACATCTACAAAAATTTTGTCTGGAATAATGTTCAATTTGAAAAAATACGCCTATAAACACAATTGTCGGCGTTAAATAATTGTCACAAATGTCAGAAACATTTCTAGAGCTATAACTTTATCATCAAGAGACGCACAATTAAATTATTACACGAAGCCCATAAACATAAACCGACGCAATTGAGGCAAACAAACTTTTAGGAAAAAAATCAGATTAAAAAAAATCAAATTACGTAAATTAAAAAATTAGTGGAATAAATCAAACATGGCCGAAAGATGTTCACCTTTCGAAAAAAAATACACCACGTTTCATCTCTTTGAATTTAAAAAATGGTTAATAATTGGCATTTTTTCATCAAATTTTCCCATTAGAGAAAACTGGATCAGTAGGTAATTGTTTTATTCCGCTGGGGATTCAGAAAATTAAAATCAATTTTGAAACTAAAATTCATTCACGTTTTCGTGAATTTTTTCAGTTCAAAAGTGGTCTTTGAATTAGTCCTTTTAAGAATGGAACTGTACTGTAACTTTTAAAAAATCAAAAGCCGTACCGCGAAAAAATTAACTTGAGCGTGAACAAAGTTTTAGACCTTGAGACCTTAAAATATTTTTTAAACAAAAAAATCAGTGAAAACTATTTCGTTACACTGCAAAACACTTTCAATAGAAACGAGAATCGCTTACAGCACCAAAAACCGTGATGAGGCAACTAAGCCGTTGAAGCATAAGCAGACAAACAATGGACCGACAATTTCTTTCAAACGGAACGTCCAAATTGAAAAATATAATATATATAATGGCCAGCGCCGAACTTAAGAAATATGCCGTCTCGGGCCCGACCAATATCTCTAGACCAAGGGTACCGGAAAAGCTAAGAAATTGTAATTTAGTATAAGCCAAGCTGTCAAATAATTTTGTCAACCGGAAAAGTCTTCATCCGAATTGAATAACGTTTGTTAATCGCAAGCATAAAAATTACTGGGAAATCAGATCTCATAAATAAATCGCGTTTTAACGTCATTTTTACACCGCAGAAATTATGTACATTGGCAGAGGTACGCAACAAGCAAAAAATGGTAAGTTAGCTGGAAAATTCCGAACGAACCTACCTATTAAAGTAATTTTTCATTACACAAGAATTTACCTGAACATTTTACGTCGGCGCAGAAACTGGTGGCACATTAAGTTCCAATTGAAACTCTTCGAGACTGATTCTTATTTACAATTTTACATTTATACAATTCATTGTTCGGATAAATCATTTCAATCTGAAAATAACACATAACGTATCACTAGAAAACCTAAATTTATCAACCTTTGACCTTTTGTTTGCAGTTGTTCCGTAAATCTATTTTCGACGTTGCAACATGGAAATAAAAACCAAAAATCAAATCATGTTACTGACATTTTGGCACTTAATTTGAATTTATTACGATGTATTTACAAAAACAGAGAACTTTATGTCAAGCTGAAATGTAGGCTACCCAATTAGATCTTATTGAGGTCAAAAGCGTTTGAAAATAGTCTATTTTATTTACGCAACTTTTAATACACAGTGAAATGGTACAAAATACAGGGAAATAAATCAACAAATCAATGCACGCATCGCACTATTTCATTCTTCACTTCATTTGCAGGACAATAAGAAACGCATTCATGCTGAATAGTTGATGGACATTGGGAGCCAATTGAGATCGCTCACTCATTCCGCCCAAATTCTCAATCGCAGCCTCATACAAGACACTTGCTTTCGCAAGTGCAAAAATGAAAACAGAGGTAAAAAACCCATTTGATTGACAATCATTTGTGGGAATTTGTCGAATCACTTCTTTTGAAAAAACTTTTAAAATTGCGTACTCTGGGGCGATAATCTACCTAAAACTTTGTGAACATTGGCCGCAATAGCGGCTTTATAAAAATTTTAATGGCTGGTCGACCAAAATGGATGTCATATATCAATAGCGAGCTCCTCCCCTTGCGCTTGGCACTTTTGCTCCCAACCCAATTTGTCTACTTTAGCACTTGATTGCAGAAATATAAATATCGAAACCGAAGCTAAAAACAAAACAGGCTTCAAACTGAAATAATTTTACAAGAAATTTGTTGAGAAATTAATAAGCTAAATCGGAAATTGTCAGTAAGGAAATAGAGCTATGAACATACGACTCGTTTTACATCAAAACTGCAAAGGTGTTTTGAGATTGAATAGAAGTGTCAAGTACAATAGTACATTAATTTTTAAGGAATTTGATCATATAAGTTTGCGCCCCGACAGAAAACAAAAACAATAATTTAAGCAGAACATCTAGTGCCATTGGGAAAAAAATAGAAAGATTAAACGTGCGATGACCTAAACTGGCTAGAAAGAAAAATAACTAAAGCACTTTTCAAACGGGCAGAGAATGAATGCAAATTAATCAAAGTTATCAGTTTTGGGCGAGATCATTTCACGGTAGTTCGCTTCTAAAGCGTGAAAAGGTTTTGAACGAAATAAGTGCTAAAAATACTTCAGATTTTTTTTATTGCGCAGAGACAAAATTCGTGGAAGCTTGACCCATGTTTAAGTTTATACTCTGTTGTGCTGACGTTTGGATTTGAGGTTGCACCGGAGCTCCAGGGGCAAACTGACCAGGAGACTGTGCGCTTCCTGGTAAATTTATACCGATTTGGTGGTTTTGAGGCTGGAAATTCTTGAATTGCTCTGATTGCACTGACGGGTAAGCTTCGTTCGTATTTGATCTTTCACCCGCCGATTGCATAACAATTTGTGCATTGTACTGTTGCGCAACATTTGTTACATCATCAGTTACGTAATACTCGGTTGCAGGAAAACCCGCAGCTTGACCATTTACTTGTCTTCCATTCGGGTCGAAGTTAGCCTGCTGATTTATCGTGTATTGCTGGTTGTTTTCCATTTTTACGAAACCGAAATTTGATTGGTGAAATGCATCGGAATCTTGAGGAGGATTAGGTGCATTCATGTTATAGTCACTTGTGATTGGCTGATTTGTATCTTTGATTACGTAACTGGCGTAGCCGCTACTTTCAGAAAGATTCGATGCGGCGGGTGATGTTGGGTCATGCTCTTGTATGGCTTGTAAATTATGGCCACTAATTGCCATAGATTGAGACAGAGATTCTTGGGTCAAAACGGGGGCGCTAGGTGCCATACTTGACGCTGGTTGGTTCGTGTCTGAGCTGGCACTTGGACTGTGTGCAATTGACGAAGACTGGCTGTTTTCTGACGCGAGTTCGACTCCTGCACTGGCCGCAGCAGCTGCCGCCTTTTCCCGCCTGATTTTCTCTTTCGAGCGTCTGTTTTGGAACCAGGTCTGAAATCAAAATAGATAGAAAATTCAAGTTACGTCTGAAGCAACCGAAAAAGACTATCACCGTTGAGAACCTCTGTCGTCCTTATTTCAAAAATTGACCAACTCACAAGCGTTCAGCTTTAGTTACCTTCAAGTCAATGATTACAATATTTAACATAGAGGCGGAGCGGAGCTTCGCACCACTTCTTGCGATACAACACAAAAGTGAAAAAAACGTAAGTCGAAAAATGAAAATTCTAAAAAAAAACTACGTGAAACACTAAAATTTTCGTAGTCTCGATAAAAGATTACTAGGGTCAAGCCAAAGCTGGAGGTACGCGTTTGATATTTTTCGAATTTGCCATATTGATACGGGAAGAAATGTGTAATTTCAAAATTTGGACTTTGACTAAAACCTTAATTGTTTCTCTGCTAAAATAGGTAAGAAGAATGAAAATTTTGATATTGAAATTATTTCAAAAATTTAAGAATCCACGCTTCTTCAGGACAAAAAATCACAACCGGTTCTTTCGATTAAACTTTTCATCTTAGATTTGAAAGGGTAGTTTGAAAGGTAGAAAATTCGAGTCTAAAAAACGGTTGAAAGTTCAAAAATTTGACGTTGCGAAATCCAAAAAAGCAGACCGCGGCCGCTGAAGTAAAGAAGGTTTCCCAAACCGGATTTCTGGATTGAACACTTAACTTGAGAATTGGCACGGTAGTTTTCGAGTAAAGTTTTCAAAACACGGTCTAAGTTCAAAACTTTGACTTTTCTGAGGGCCATAACTGAGGGCCGCAAGCATTGCAGCTTCTCACAACCCGCTTTTTGGATTGAACTCAAAATCTCAGATATGGGAGGGTAGTTTTCGAGAAAATTCAAAAAAAATCAGAAATTTGACTTTTCTGAGGGCATAAATTTTTTGTGTAAAAAAGGTGAGCGATCGCTAATTCACGGAGGCTCCCACTACCTTTTATCTCTAATGAACCCACAATCTGAGATTTGAGAGGTTAGTTTCCGAGGAAATTTTAAAACATAAAAAACGTTCAAAAAATTGAAAATTTGACTAGACCGATGGCCAATTTTGTTAAATAAAATTTGGTCAAAAAAACGCGCTCTTTCCATTGATTTCCCTTCTTTGAAAATTGGTAGCGAGATGCTTAAGAAAAACTAAAATTTTTGCAAAAAGTAAAACTTTCAAAGCGTCTCAAAATAAAAAATAATCAAATAGGAATTTTAAGCCAACATGCATTGAAATTGAAATTAACAACGGAACAAAACTTATGAAACGGGAAAAAGCCGACAATCATTGAGCAGGCACAGCTGAGCCGAAAAAAATTGATTTAACAAAAAAAGTTTCAAGACCCCCTGAAATTACAATCAACATGATACCAAGATACATGTGTACAGAACAAGAAAATTAAATGAGGTGCGAACTAAGCCGAAAAAACTTGAACAGATAAAAGAAAGTCCGACAAAAGAATTTTAACCGGAAAAAAAACAAACTTGCATACATACTAAAAGAAAATAAGGTCCGACCGGGATTCGAACCCCAGACCTTAGGATTCAAAGGCGACGGTATTACCTCTAAACCAATTGCAACGATACCTAGAAGTTGTTAAAACTCAACAAAGAGGCAAAGCAGAGCGTGGCGCCACTTGCAATATAACACAGACATAAAAAAAACATGACAAACATAAGTAGAAAAATATGAATTGTGGAAAAAATCTGGGAGAACCAAAATGTTCATATATCTCTGTAAACAATAAAAAAGGGCACAACTAAAATTAGAGGTAGGCGTTTGATATTGTTTGAATTTGTTCTACTGATGCGGGATGAAGTGGTTATATTCAAAAATTGAATTTTGTTTCTCTACTAAAATGAGTGAGAAGAGTGCACCAATTTTGTAGAACAAATTTTCGCAACCGATTACTTTGAGTGAAACTTTCATATCAGATTGACTTACCGAAATATTTAACTTCTTTCTGTAAAGTCAAAAAATTTCCAAAAAACTGTCACTAAATCAAAAATTTGACAATTTTGCGAATCATGCCTTTTTTAGTTAAAAAAAAACAATTGGGCGTAGCTGCTTATGCGGAGGAGATTCACATAATCTGTTGTTTCGATTGAACGCAAAAACTCGGAGGGTAGTTTTCGAGAAAAATCATTAGTTTCGATAAACGGTACAAAAACCAATTATTGACTTTTCCGAGGGCCATAACCTTAGCTTAATAAAAAAAAAGTCCTAGTAGATTGTGCAGTGAAAGTTTTCACAACCCCTTTTCAATCAATTGAGCCCAAAATCTGATTTGGGAGGGTAGTTATCGAGAAAAACCAAAGATTCAAAAACGGTCGAAAAAACCTAGTTATTGACTATTCCAAGGGCCAAAACTTTTCATGTAGAAAAATGTTGGCGTGGCCCCTGAGTCTTTCATAACCCCTTCTATTTCATAACCAATTCTTCGAGAAAACAAGAAAAACCTAAGAATATGAGTCAAATATTTCCTCGCCGTAGACTTTTTCGAAGGCTGCAGACAGTAGGGTAAAGCAAAAAGAGACTAGGGGATTAGTCTTTCTATTGATACGCCTTTATTGAAATTGGGCAAAGTAGTTCTCAAAAGAACTAAAATTTTTGCAAAAACAAAGAAAAAAGATTCGAAAGTGTCTCAAAAATGTAAAAATCAAAACCCAATCCCATATATTTTCATAAAACCTGATTTTGTCAAACAGGAATTAATTAATGCCGCCGAAACTACACAAAATAAGTTGACTAAACCGATGCAACATCAGCCGAAACCATCTAGTGAAAAAACTAATTTAAAAAATTTAAAAACGACTAAGTCCATGCTAACAAAGAAGGACGATAAAAATTTGTATCAGAAAACTTGAATGATAATTTAAAAAACGGTATATGAACCGACGGAAACTAGGCGAAAAACCACCAATCCAAAAATTCAACATATTTTCAAGAAATTTATTTGTATGTAAGAAAAAATAAACATATCCAACAGACCGATAGAAAAGAATCAATGAACGCAATTAAACAGAAAAATTACCGATTTGGTTTTTGAAAAAATCTCAACTTTCAAATTTCAAAGAAAAAAAAAGCCCTTAAAGCTCTTTGAATTTCAAGAACAAAGGGACATTTTTTCGATTAAATTGGATCAATTTGAGAAAACTGGATCAATAGGTAAACTAGAAGTCGATCACATTTTTCGTGACCTTTACACTTTTGCTGTTCGATAGTGAAGTTTTCGCCATCTTTTTAGCAAATGAAATTAGAACTGATTTTAAAATCAAATCAAAAGTCAAACCGCGAAAAAGTGAATTTGAGCTTAAACAAACTTGAAGACTTTCCTTTAAAAAAAATCATCGCAACATACATAAAAGTCTGAACTACGTTCACCGACTCTTTATTACTGCCCCTATTGTACTCCACCTATTAAATCGTAGATGAGGTAGTTTTATTTGAAATTTCATGAAATTGAGCCTGTCTTGAAATTTACCAATCCTACAAAATAGACCATTGTGAACAAAAATATTTACGGGAAAAAAGTATAATATCTGTTTGTAACACCCTTAAAAACCTGTAAGAAGCTGAAAATTTGTAATAAAAATTTTTTACGGAAAAAGGAGTCTACTTCGCAATTACAAGACACTTGCTTTCGCAAGTGTAACTAAAGCTAGTTTGAAGTAAATTTGCCATTTTATCAACAAAAACTCTTACAGCGATTGTTTTTGCTTCCACTCCTATCTCGGCTGCAATTGCGTCTCTCTCCTCCTTTGAAGGCTTCTGATTAGTCAAATAATACGACCTCAGGTAATCTGCCTGTGGCCCTTTCAAATGGTTCCCTGGACCCCTCTTGTTGGACACCGGAGTCCCAGTGCCACTGGCAGAGAAGGATCCCGCCGCGGGAGGCGTGTTGGCGGTTCCAGCCGAGGAGACGGAGTTTGGGTTGGAGCTGGTTCCTCCGCTGGTACTGGACCCCATAGACGCACCAGATTTCGGCGAACATTGCAGGTCATTCTAAAACAAAAGATTGGCATATACAATCAAAGTTTCGTTGTTATACGCAGCAAAAACCCAACAAGGATAGCCGGTTGCTGAGCAAGCACTACAGACGACCATATGCTAACATAATACAAAAAAAATTTGATTTTTTCCAATTAGTGTCGTTTTTGGTAAGATAAACAAGCTAATCGAAGATTGGAAAAGAATAATGAACGCAAGTAAACATGAAAAAAACATAGATGTCCTTTTAACTCTTTGAATTTCTAAAACAATTTATGATTGGCGCTTTTTTGATAACATGAACCCAACTAGAGAACACTGGATCAATAGGTAAAGTTTTTATTCCGATGGAAATCTAAAAATTCAATTCCACTATCGAAACTAGAAATCATTCACGTTTTTTTGCGCCATTTCCACGTTCGTATTTAGAGAGTGCTATTTACGTCATTTTCAGCAGATGAATTTCAATTAAACTCAAAAAGTACATATATACCTAAGTGCATTCATAAATGCATCAATATGTATGAATGCCCATCTGTAGTTATTAGAGACTTTTCCTAAAACAAAAAAACCTGCAAGAACTATATAAGTCTTCACTACGTTCATTACTCTTGAAAAGATCTGACGAAAGCCTAGAAATGAGGTATATTCGACAATCAGAGAAAAACAGCAAATTTTTTCCCATTTTTTGCAGATATCTAATTCAATTGTTGAAACTTTTATTCCAAAAAATGTTCAACAAAAAGTCTGCTCGCTCAACATTGAACTAAAAATCAAAAACTTCAAACCGTCTTTTTTCGACACGGTGAAAAAAATTTTTGGAATTTCTTAACGTCGTTCGAATCACGGCTTCAATATGATATACTACTCAACCCAGTCCGACGATTATTCGTGGAACCTGATTTGCGAGAAAAACAAAAACACCCGAATACAAAGTTCATCCACGTTTTTAATGGGCGGACACAACAATTTATCGAAAAGCTTTAACTGCGAATTCTAAAATTTTTTTTGAACATCTCAAAGCAAACATCTGGCACCAACGGGAAGCACTCCCAAAATCTGCGTCCCAGCGTTAACTCCTTAGTTCCTGACATTAACCAAATCATTTTAAAGCCTGGCCAATCCTAGAACTCAAACATGCGTTATAACTATATGCAGCAATGAAAGAACCTCAGTGAACATTACCTCAGTGGATATCAGCTGTTTAAATTTCGCAGAGAATTTGCAATGAAATGTAGGGCTTATACAGGAAAACCAGGAATTCTAATTTTCGGCTCTGCCGAAATACACCAAATTGTACCGAAAAAAAAAGTTTTCTCAAAATTTAAAATTAAAAAATTTAAATGCGAAAGGGTAACCCTTTCAGTTCTTGTGTGAAAATTACACAACTGTGTTAATTTATCTTCTATGTAAACAATTTAGCTGTATTTTTTGCTTTTAAGTATTTTGTTTGCCTTGAAATTTAGTTCATTTCTGTGTTGCTTTTCAGTTCAAATGGCTCCTATTGCGCTGCAGGCTGTTAGCACTGCTATTCGAAAACATGCGTTTTTGAAAAATCTGGACTCGGCTACAGAAAAACTTTGTTTTCTGTTCATATTGCTCAAAATCATTCAAGTGTTCCAAAACAAACCATGTAAACGATCATTTGGGGGGCATGGCTCATTCACGGGCCATCTCATTGCGTCATGCTCGACAATCGAACATGCATATTCCTTCAGCATCTGGGACCAGCGAGGACTAGTTTACCCTGGACATGGTGGCTGTCTGAATTGGAGCTGGTTTACTTATCTCGGATTTGGGCAACAAAGGTCTCAAAAACTTTTCATAGAAGGCTACAAAGAGACCAATTCCTTCTGTATCCACCCTCTCTGTAAGTTATGCAACCCATGAATATAATATGAAAATGGAAAAACTGAAAGAAATTGGGTACTACTATGATAGAGTGGTCCCCTGAAAAAGCAACTATGATAGACAGGTCCCGCATGCATTTCGAATGTTATAATTTTGAAAACTAGTTTGCTTATAAATTATTCATTTCAAAAATCTGGCAAAAGATGTTGAGTCAGAAACCTTTCAGATTAAAAATTGTGATTACTATAATTTTTATATCAAGAAATATGCTCGCTTGAGCTTATTTTACAGTTTAACAACCATAATTGGATTGACTTATTTGTCATCAAAATTCGATTTTTGCAATTTTTTCACCTTATAATGTTGAGGGGGGAGGTTTTACGAAACAAACAAACTTAAAATTTGTTTGAAAATATACAGCGAAATCTTTCTGAATCACGAGATTATAATTTAACATTTCAGAGCCCAGTGTATTTTTCGCAAGGGACCTGGTTATTTTCAAGGGACCACTCTATCATAGTAGTACCAGAAATTATTTCGTGCTATGACAATTTTTGCATTGATTTTGATGAAGCAGACTACAGGGTCAAAAATTACTATGCAATTCTATTTGGGAAAATTGACGGAGAAAAAGTACACGCCCCCTTTTGATTGAAATTACTCAAGACGATCGATCTGCTTATGCCACCATTGTCCGGCAAAAGATCATTGGCGCTCTTGAGAAGATCGGACTTGCAAGCAAAAATGAAAAATTCCGTCTGTGAAAAATTCCAATTATGGATAATTCGAGCAAAGTCTCAAAAGATACAAAAAAATAACTTAAGTGTTCAAAAACAGCATCAAGAGCAACTAGCTATGGGATTATCAAGTTCTGTTAATGTTCCGACCATTGAAAAATGGAGGAGAAATTTGTATTCGAATGAATTTTAGTTTTTTCATTTTTTTTTCAAATTTTTTTTGATTTCCACGCAAAATCAGGTACAAAAAAATCATTGGACAGCCTTTGAGTAAAGATTCGAACGACATTAAAAACCAACAACATCAGTATCGAGAAAAACCAATTTGAAATTTTTGATTTTTTAGTACAATTTCGAGCAAATAGAGCTAGCGCTAAGGCGTACACATGGCTTTTCATAGATGAAAAAATCCTAGTCAAGCCGTTCTAATTTACATTTACTCTTGCTAAATTAGTGTTTTAAGTTTTTTGCGCCATTTTGGGATTCAAAAAAAAAACTTTTTTAACGGTTTTTTTTTTCGTTTTTCTAGTCATTTTTCAACTAAAACTGTTGTCCATCTTGCGCAGAATGTCGAATATGCTTAAGTTTTAGGTTTTCGTCGAATCTTCTTATCAAACCGCGCTAAAAAAAACGACACTTCATTGAAAAAAAATTACGTCAGATCCGTTTATCTCACACCACGCAGAAAAAACTAATTTGGAAAAAAAATCAAAACCGTAGTTTTCTAAAGTCTACGGTCAAAACCTTCTGCGCTACTTGCACAGTAACCGGCTATCCTTGTTATATTTTAAATTTATACGTCCTGCATGAGTTAAACAAGATTTTTTCTTAATTAAATATAAGATCGCCAGGGAAAAAAATCTGCACTAACCTCGCTTGATACAGATACATTGTCACTGGACTTTTCGTCATCTAATGCAATATGGGCCACCATTTTAGGGTGAGCCGCTAGTCCGTTTGGATAGTGTTGAGTTTGTGGGGGTGCGAAACCCCCTCCCTGTCGCTGGATAACTATTGAGGCTGGGGGACATGGGCTGAATGCACTGCTGGAGTTGAGCACCCCTGGTGGTCCTCGGTTTGGGGGAGGGGGCGGCTGGTTGGCAGGATTCGACTGGCGATAGTCCATCATGTCAATGCTAAACATTTTCTATTAACTTAGTCCATAAAAAATTTATCCTCAAGGTTCACCCGCTTTTCATTCATTACGAATGTTGACCAATGTCATGTTCCACCTGATGCAACATATTTAGCAACAACCGCGTAATTTATTTGATTTCAGTTTGTACCAAATGGCGAGTTTTTAGCACAGCGTCGAAGCTGCAGTTTACAAATACAAGCAAAAACCTAAAAAGAGCAGTAATAAAACACAAAGAACAATGAGTTGAAAAAAAACCAACTTGAAAAAGTAACAAAATTCCTTGTATTAGGGCGAAAACCAGAAAGTTCCAAATGCCAATTAACGAGAATAACTTTTGGTTTTAAAAAATCTATAACTGACTAAAATATAGCCAACAGACAGTTGGAAGAGTCAATGAGCGCAAGAAAACAAAAAAAACATTGATAATTGAAATTCGAATTTCAAATGTAAAAAAACATGGCCTTAAATCTCTATGAATTCATGAACAATTTAGCAACTTTTTTTAAAGAAAAATGAACACGATTTGAAAAAACTGGATCAATGGGTATGTTTTCAACCCGCAGTGAAAACTGAAAACTAAAATCGAAACTAGAAGTCGATCAGTTCTTTTGCGACCTTCGTAATTTGGCTGTTCGATGTGGAGTTTACCTTCCTTGTAACAAAGGAAATGAACAAAACTTTGAAAGAAAAAATCAAAACACGAGAAATCAAATCTGAGCCTGACAAAATTATTAAGAACTATATAAGAGTCTTCATGAAGGTTCATCAATTTTGGACGAACTATATTCAGTTGAGAAAATCTTTGAATTTCAATTATTATGATTAGGACTTTCTACTTCAGGTTATTCCATATCGAGAAAAATGGATCATTGGAAAAATGGATCAAAAATGGTTAAATAATGGTTAAATGGATCAAAAATGGTTAAGGCGTCGATATCTCCAAAGGTGCATAAAAATTTCCCTCGATAGCTATTATTTCCAGAAAATAGGCGCAAAACTTTGCACTAAAATGTGCAGCTTGCGTTGGCACAAATGGACAGACCGCATAAAACAATGCTCGCACCAATAAAAAAAAATAGAAAATTTCAAAATTAAATTATTTCAAAAACACAATTCCAGCATACGTTTAAACCTGTTACATTTCTCAAATCACCAGTGGAAAAAAATCACTCAGGCGAGATGTGGCGATGCAGATGGAAGGGGTAAGAATAAGAGCCATTTGTTATTTTTGGTTTCTAAGCACTGACCTGTTGCTATCTGAGCTTTGTGCTGGACTCTGCTGCATGCTCTGCCCCTGAAAGTACGTGGTATTGTGTCCTACTCCATTATGACCATGTACAGGCATTGGGAGCTGCTGTTGAGTAGTATTTGGTTGCTGATGTGGTGGTGCTGTGTTATCAGTGTATCCAGTCACGAAATTGGCTTGTATAGCGGTTTGAGATGATGGACTATGCATTTGTTCGTCTTTAAACCTGGTAAAAAAAATAAATAGTCTAGTTTCATTATGCTTTAAAAGATTTCCAAGTTAACATCCTCATTCAAAAAAAAATTTATTTTGGAATGAAAAAATGGTATAAATTGCTTTATTATGAGACCACACTCAGCTTCTAAAAAGAGGGAAACGATAAGATCAGTCCGATTTCAAAGAAAAATTTATTTTGGAATGAAAAAAATGGTATAAATTGCTTTATTATGAGACCACACTCGGCTTCTAAAAAGAGGGGAACTCTTCAAATTTTGGAGGGGGATGATACCGAAGCATCACAAAAAGTCATCGTATCTGCATGGGCAAATTCATTGATTTTTTACCTATGATTAGGGTTTGGTACATGCCCGTTCTGTTTGAACTGTTGCGGATCCTGCTGCGATGCAAGTTGTTTTGCAGTCGCCTCCTGTTTGTAGTTGGGAGGATGCTGTGCAATAGGCTGACAAGGGTAACTGTTGCTAGGCATGGTCCCTGCTAAGTTAGAGGGTTGAATAGCTTGCGATGCTGGAGGACCAACAGTCATCTGGGGATGAGATTTGGAAGTAGCAGGTAGAGGGGTTGGTCGGAAAACACCTAGAAGATAATCATTATTTACACGGACCTTCCCAGAGTCAAACTACATCAATTTTAATGCAAGTTCTTTGCATTTTTGTGGTAAATTTTCGAACCTCTGCTTTCCTGGTTGGATGGTGAGGAGATATAATCTGGATTTGGTGGTCTGTGAGAAAAGGACTGGTTGTACGCCTGCTGTTGGGCAGTGTTAACCCATTGACCACCAGCAGGCATGACTTTGGCACTTTCGTTTTGATTACGTGCGATAACGTGTTGTTTGTAGTCATTGTGACAATATACTTTGCAAGGGTAGCCATGAACGATGAAGATCTTGTCACCTGTTTGAAGGTGAGCCTTGCATTCTGAGCACGTTAGACATGAGACGTGGAAAATATAATCGTGAATGCGTTGGACAAGTTCGTCTGGTGTAATAGATTTATTACAACCACTACATAATGTCCACGCTTGCCTTAAACAAAAAATATTATCTCAAATTAATCAACTGAAGGGGTCGTGAATTCAAATAAAACTGAATTTACGTTCGAAAATCCATCTGACAAAACACGAAACCGTCTCGGCTATAGCACTTCGGTCCCAATTTGTTGTTGCATGCGCAGCAGACGAAGCACGAGTTGTGCCAACATCTATCGAGGGTTTTCGTATATGATTCGTCTGTTATGTCATGTGAACACCTTGCACAAATGGGCGTGAATTTGTCCCTTTTATCAGTCGCCCCAGCTGGAATTGGTACGTCTGAGCAACTGTTATTGCCACTGCCAGCAGTAGTCGAAATGAACTTCATGAACTCGAAAACTTCCTGACAACTAACTGAATCTGAAACATTCACTAGACAATGTTCGCTTCTTAGGTATCAACGCTTTGCTCATAGCAATACAAAATCATACAAGCATTACTAGCAAAATTAAGGTAATCGGAGGATGAAACGAAGCAGAAAAATATTCGAGTACAAAATTTTCGTACTATATAACACCCACCACTTTTTTGTCGTTAGAAGCCTTCAGCTTATTTGTTTACTGTCTTTTCATTACAAATTATTATCAATTTCACGCTGAAAGAAACGGGTCTTTCCAATATTAACTTTTTCAGCGTAGTAGAAAAAACTTATCAACCCCATACTCCCCCTTCACATAATCTTCATCATTTCACCCAGTCAAAAAACCATGGGAATTTCATAAATTTTAAGCAAAGGTAAATTATAAAAGGAGCCACTCCGATTAGTTTCGGTCAGTGCACAAGCTGGATAGGCCCAAAACAGTGTTTTAAAAACGCATATGTATCAGCAAACTGTATCATTGTAACAATGAAGTCATATATCAGCATTAAACGCATCGTTGTAATGTTAATGTATCTCAGCTGTCCTTCATCTACAATAGCGCTTATAGAGTTGTCGATAAATTGAACATAGCGCAGCCATCTGGACTCCCTTAAACATTGTATCGAGCTCCTGAGGAGTGCGAAGCTTTATTCAGTTTTTACGTAGTTTATCGATTCTCGTTAGCTATAGTCTTTTTTCACTTAGTTTTTCGGCTAATCGCTGCATCTTCCGAAACAGCGGACAGAGGCTACTCACCTCTACGTTTAAAATTATTTGCTGATACTTGGATTAATTCAGCGTATCGTGATATTTGTATGCGCCTTTAAGCAGTTTTCGCGATGTTTAAGCATAGGGGAAAAATTTCCGTCATCAAAGTGCGGCTAAATTGTGAACATCAGAGTCCGTTTGCTCCAATGTCAAGTCGTGCCTCATCATCAGTTGAATTGTAGTTGAATTGTTGACAGATCTTTTGCCTTGCAACGGCTGTAATTTCGTCTCAATCTCGACGTCATAGCAAACCTCGTTGATGAGGTTGGCGAATGTGCCTCTAATTTCATGTTTTCCTCTAGGGGTGTAACTGCCCTTTGACCAGTGTAGAGCATTGGCTAGGTTGAAATTTGCACCACATGCACATGTGATAGGGTTTTTGTCGGTTCCTATCCGTATGTAACATTTGCACGGATGTACATGCCGACGGAAATTCAAACTAGGGTTTGAAACGACTGGCTAGCGCCTAAACATAGCTTTACATGCTTTTAACCGTCTCTACCATAATTCAATGTGTGGTTCACGTGATATCGGGACGACAATGTGTATACAAACTGAAAGCAATCAGCAAATTGGCTGAAACTAACTTAGATATTTTCAAAATAACGAGCTCACGGTCTGGTCTCAGTATCCCCAGACCTCGGAGTCTTTCCTAAAAACAGGTCTACTACATTTTTAGCACTTTACTTTTTTTTTGTTCAGTAGATTAGGCCATCATGTCCATCGGAGATGGATTGACTTTTTCCTCATTTCCTTGCTTCTCATAACCTGAAAAGGAATTAGATATTAACTAAAACTCGGTTCAGAACATTACGGGACCCTGGAAATTGTTAAATTTACTGTCCAGAGTTGTTCTCCGGTATGCCACCGACTTCTTGAATCTGCGTGTAGAAGCATCTTGGAAGGTTGGGAAACAATCGGGAAGGTTGGCAAACTCTCCTATTACTTTTCCTTGTTCGTGGGAGTTGCTGTGTAACAATTGTAGCTGCACAATCGTTACACTTCGGAACGCTCTACTTTGAATCATAATCACTGCAATCGCAACCCTTTTTTTTGTTGTACATCTATTTCTGATCAGCAAAAGTTTTCTGTCTAACTGTCGCGATTTTCAATTTTTGAGCATTTTGAAGGTCGTGACTTTTCTTTACTTTTGAACGTATTTCCCCGGAACCCGGTCATGTCCTCTTTGAACTTTGAGTAGCTCATCAAAATGGTACAGCGCCTTCAAATAGAACTTACAAAATGCACCAAAAGAGTTTTATCCAAATCCTAACATCTCACTACGTGCTGTGAATGGCATCATAGTACATCGCTATAGCCTCCTAACATTTCCACTAATCAGCACACATAGGGTATGACCTAAATTAAAACATTTTTTCTGACTTCTAACGTCATTGTTTTAAAATCTCATTTTTTCTATTAGGCTTAAATATGTTGGGAAACAGGACAGTCCTGCCAACCAAAAAATAAATATTTCCTTTTTATGTCTCTTTCATTATGAAAATTTTCATTATTGGCCCTGAATTTTAAAATTAGGAAACTCAGTGGTTAGAAGTAACAAAAAATGATCTCCCTCTTCAAGAGATCATCCAAGTCTTTCACGTCATCACAAAGCAATCAATCCTCCTGGATGATTAAAAACAATCATAAAGGCTGGAAGACTTTAAATTAATTCTCCACTCTTTCCTTTCTAAATAAATAGAAAGTGTCACTAAAATACAAACAAAATTATTAGGCAATTTCATAACTGGGGTAAGGATCAACTCAAAACAACTAAAACTTTTCTTTCTAAGTTTCAATTTCAAACTTAGTAAGTCTGGTTGCTCATATTTTTTTCACCCAAAACAATAATGAGTTTAATTTCCTCCTCTTTCTTAATTCTTTGATCATTGTTTTCCTTAAACTACCGTCGCTTAGAAGTTTCACAACTTCTAAAGTCTTCTAATCGTTCTTTTGCATCTCGTTATTTGGCTGTTCTTGATGTTTCATCTGCTCTTCCTGCGACATCGACCCTGCACTCTCGTTTTTAAAGTATTGCAACACATCAGTCGCCGTTTTCACGCTGTTGGAGGGACTTCCCCAACACCTCGGCTCTTCTACCCATTGTTTAAAATAAGGCAGAAGATCCATGGTCGTTTCCCTATTTCTTCACAAGTTGTTATGGTGGCACAACGTTACTTTTTTTTCCAAGTCATCCGTCAACACTTCTTCCTTTTTCTTGCCCATCACAATCTTTCTTGTGTTTTTATTTTTGAACAAATTTCCCGTAAACCCGGTCAAAGTCCTCATTAAACTTCGATTATCTCATCAAAATGGTACATTTCTATCAATCAGAACTTACAAAATGCATTTAAAATTTTTATCTACATCCTATTAACTCACTACGTGCTATTAATGGATCATACTACATCGCTCCAGCCTCCTATCATTTCCGCTAATATGCACACTGCACATTGAGGTTATGAACAAGAATAAAAGTTTTTTCTGACTAACGTCATTGTTTTAAATTCAAATTTTTCTTCTGCGGTTAAAAATGCTAGGGCGCAGGACCGTCCTACCAACCAACAAAATAAATGTATCGTTTTATGTTGCTTCCTTTCTAGACTTTTAGTTGTTATTGATCCTGAATATTACAATTAAGAAACGCGGTTGTTAGAAAGAACAAGGAAATGATCTCTCTCTCTCTCTCTCTCTCTCTCTCTTTCTCTCTCTCTCAGTCTTCAAGAGATCATCCAAGTCTTTCACGTCATCACAAAGCAAACAATCCTCCTGGATGATTAAAAACAATCATAAAGGCTGGAAGACTTTAAATTAATTCTCCACTCTTTCCTTTATAAATAAAAAGAAAGCGTCACTAAAATGCATACAAAATTATTAGACAATTTCATAACTGGGGGTAAGGATCAACTCAAAACAACTAAAACTTTTCTTTCTAAGTTTCAATTTCAAACTTAGTAAGTCTGGTTGCTCATATTTTTTTCACCCAAAACAATTATGAGTTTAATTTTCTCCTCTTTCTTGATTCTTTGTTCATTGTTTTCCTTAAACTACCGTCGCTTAGAAGTTTCACAACTTCTAAATCCTTCTAATCGTTCTTTTGCATCTCGTTATTTGGCTGTTCTTGATGTTTCATCTGCTCTTCCTGCGACATCGACCCTGCACTCTCGTTTTTAAAGTATTGCAACACATCAGTCGCCGTTTTCACGCTGTTGGAGGGACTTCCCCAACACCTCGGCTCTTCTACCCATTGTTTAAAACAAGGCAGAAGATCCATGGTCGTTTCCCTATTTCTTCAGAAGTTGTTATGGTGGCACAACGTTACTTTTTTTTCCAAGTCATCCGTCAACACTCCTTCCTTTTTCTTGCCCATCACAATCTTTCTTGTGTTTTTATTTTTGAACAAATTTCCCGTAAACCCGGTCAAATTCCTCATTAAATTTCGATTATCTCATCAAAATGGTACATTGCTATCAATCAGAACTTACAAAAATGCATTTAAAATTTTTATCAACATCCTATTAACTCACTACGTGCTATTAATGGATCATACTACATCGCTCCAGCCTCCTATCATTTCCGCTAATATGCACACTGCACACTGAGGTTTTGAGCAAGAATAAAAGTTTTTTCTGACTAACGTCATTGTTTTAAATTCAAATTTTTCTTCTGGGGTTAAAAATGCTAGGGCGCAGGACCGTCCTACCAACCAACAAAATAAATGTATCGTTTTATGTTGCTTCCTTTCTAGACTTTTAGTTGTTATTGATCCTGAATATTACAATTCAGAAACGCGGTGGTTAGAAAGAACAAGGAAATGATCTCTCTCTCTCTCTCTCTCTCTCTCTCTCTCTCTCTCTCTCAGTCTTCAAGAGATCATCCAAGTCCTTTATGTCATCACAAAGCGAACAATCCTCTTAGTTGACTAAAAGCAATCATGCAGGCTGGAATACCTCAAATAAGTTCTCAACTTAATCCTTTCTTAATAAAGAGAAAAATCCCCAAGATTCAAAACTGCAGCAATGATAATCTCATAAAACTCAAAATTGCAGCAATGATAAACTCAAAATGACTCAAGTTTTTCCTCAGTAAGTTTCAATTTCAAGCTTAGTTAGCTTGGTTGCCCCTTGAGCTTTTTTTACAGAAATTATTTCTGAGTTTTAATTTCCTCCTCGTTCTTTTTTCTTCAATCATTCCTTTCCTTAAATTTTCATCGCTCAGAAATTCTACAACTATTATAA